ACACAGGAGGTTCTGAACTTCAGGAACCCTTTTTTTTTTTTTCTGTGAGGGTGGCCAAGCACTGGCACAGGTTGCCCAGAGAGGTTATGTAGTCTCATCCTTGGAGATATTCAAAAGCCATCTGTACATGGTCCTGGGCAATCATCTCTAGGTGGCCCGGCTTGAGCAGGTGGGCCGGACAAGATGACCTTCAGAGGTCCCTTCCAACCTCAATCATTCTGTGATTCTAGAGCACCTCTCCTATGAAGGCAGGCTGAGAGAATTGGGATTGTTCAGCCTGGAGAAGAGAAAGCTCCAAGCAGACCTTATTGTGGCCTTCCAGTACTTAAAGTGGGCCTACAGGAAGGATGGGGACAATCTTTTTAGCAAGGCCTGTTGTGACAGGACAAGGAATAATGGATTTAAACTAAAGAAGAATAGATTTAGACTGGATATAAAGAAGAAATTTTTTACAGTGAGGGTGGTGAAGCACTGGAACAGGTTGCCCAGAGAGGTAGTGGAGGCCCCATCCCTGGCAACATTCAGGGTCAGGCTGGCTGGGGCTCTGAGCAACCTGATCTGGTTAAAGCTGTCCCTGCTCACTGCAGGGGGCTTGGTCTAGATGACCTCTAAAGGTCCCTTCCAACCCAAAGCATTCTATGATTCTGTGATTCTGTGACTGGGCTGTCTGTGCTTATGTCTGGTGGGAGTCATGTATGTAGATGCTGTTACAAGCTGTAACCCCCACAGCTGGCAGCTACTAAAACCTGAAGGCATTAAAATAGACTTTGCATGGTGCTACCCAGTGGTGGATTTGAGACTGTAGCTGTCTCGCCTGCGTTTCCCAGGGTGGTGAAGCCTCTGGGCCACACGACTGCAGTGTAACTAGTTCTTGTCTCTGCCCTCTTACAACCCATGGTAGTGTCTAGATTTAATCTGTTGTTGCTGACACTGAGATTAGTTGATAGAGATAACTGCTACTACAGCGGATATCTGCAAAGCATATTGTGTGACACTTGAACAAATATACCAGGGTAAGACAAAAATCATTATGGTCCTTATCTTTGCACTTGGTTGAAAAATAGATCTCATTGTAATGGTAAATGAAGAGGTGCTGTTGTTTTCATTAAGGTTTATCAGAAACACTTCTACAAGATTTGATTAAATTAAAAAAAAACAACACCATTTGAAATCTGAGCGGTAACTTCACGTCACTGGCAAGGGACTGTAATTTGCTTGGCTCACCCTAAAATTTAGCAAAACATATTTAGCTAAGCGTTCCCACTGGCTGAAACACCAGTTTTAATTAAAGTATCACTGTCAGCCTGTTACCAGCTCTAGAGTATTTTATGCTGTCCAGAGCAGTGGAAAATATACTCTTGTTACCATTTGCAGTAACTCACAAAATAAGTAGTTGAAACATTCTGCTGCACCAGGCAACCCTGTATGTTCTGTTTGTGGCTGAGCTAACCCTCTGTCAACTTTTTAAAGAGGCATTAAATCAAGAAGGATATGAATCAGAGCTTTCCTGAGTCAGTAAAACGTTACCACTGACTCTGATGTGCTCCAGAGTGGGTCCTTGGACAACAGGGTGGCACATTACCATTTAAATATCCTATAAATGGTTGACTCATAGTAATTCAGAGGTGTGTTTGTCTTCTTAGATATAAATAAGGGTACTTACTAAGAGATTCACTTTATCTTATGTTGCAGGGAAAAAAAATCCCAACATTTTGTATATTCAGGTATTTCAGTATTTGTTCAAAGGCTCGTACTAGAAGCCTCTGATGTTCTGGATGCAGTTCAGTCTAGTCTTTTGAATTGCCAGTTGAAAATCCCTGTGTAGCTGTTTAGAACAGCTTCTAGCAAGTGGGTTTTTTTGCAGCTGCCATTGTCCTCTCTCCTGGGAGCTGCACAGCCTTCCCTTGATTGCAAGTATCTCCTCCTTCTCTTCCTCCAAATGTCTTGGCTCTTCTATGGTCTCATCTCCGCACAGCCTATTCTCATTTCTGAGAGGGGCAGTTTTAGCTTTTGGCAGTTTGCAGCTGCATGTAGCCAGCCTTAAAATACTTACAAGTTGGTCACCAAAAAAGAAAATTAAAAGGTTCTAATAGAGGAAGAGAAAATGCTTCAAGAAAAATGAAACTAAGCAGAAAGCACAAGGTAGAGAGACAAGTGTTTAAGCTTCTTAGGAGCTAGGATGGGGTTGTTCTCTCCCCACCTGGAAGAGGCAGTCAGGTGTGTTTTCCCTTGGGGATTTGTGTTCAGCTGTGTGAACACATTTACAGTGCTGTCAGCTGTCAAGTGCATCTGTTACTGCTCTCTTGTTAACTAGTTTTCATAAGCAGGTGCACTGCCTCCAAATTTTTTAATTGTCTTTCAGGTGGTGGTATTCTCTTTTGAATAAACACGTTCTATTTGGCACATATATGGACCCCATGCTTGATAATCCTGAACTTCTGACCAAAGGCAGTAAATGAGAAAAGACCACAACTTATTTTTCATATGGTTGAATCTGCATGCATTGTTTTGTCTTTCATTTGTAATGCCAAGCAAGACACTAGGACCTGGATAGCTGTGAAGGAAATCCAGGAGACGGCTCTATGATCACCAGTGCACAGTATCCATCGTTCTAGCATGGCTTTAGAAACCTTAGCATTGGGCTTTGTGAATAACTAGGACTGCTGCAGAGATGAGGAACTTCATTGGTAGTTACCAGTCTTTTAATTAATCTAAAGCTATAAATATGCTAAAAGCATTTGAAGAGATCAAGAGCTAACATATTAGCAAAGTCAGACTTCAGAAGCTGCCGTACAAAGATACATTAGGTTTTCTTGGAACTGGAGAAAGCTAAAAGCACAAGGCCACTATTAAGGCACTCTAACAGGCTAAAAACATTCTAACACCATTACATTTCATTTCATTACTGTTTTGATGTTTTCTCCAGTAGCTACAAAGCTAATGCATCTTTTTTCTGAGCTCCATTTCAGGTCTTGTCTTCCCCTTTACGGGAGTAGTTGAGCTATTACTTAAGCCTGTATCAATTAAACAACCCACATCAAGGGACTGGTATAAGATAGAGAGGTAATTCTAAAATACCACATTCACTAAAGGATTTTAGCACATGCTAAGTTTTAAATGCTTGAATAATCCTTTTGATACCCTGCTAAATCTCTGCTTCAGAAACACACCTCTTAGGGAAGAACTTCTATTTGGGAAGCAGAGGGATCTGGGGAAGACACCTTCAGTGTCAGGTAGGAAGTTTGAGAACATAATGATAATTATTTTACAATTAAAATGATGGATAATTTTTGGATTGTAGGTGCCTAAATTTCAACACCACTGAATAACACAGTATTGCAGTTTTCCCTTCTATCCTATTTTGTGAATATCTATGATGAGAAGGAAAATTTATTTATTGACTTACCTGGAGACAACCTGGGACTGACCCCACTGCATGGCTGGTTCTTGCCTATGGCATGTTCCCCACAGCCCTCAGGATGCACTTTCACATTTTTGACATCCAACCACACCCTGAAGAAAGAACTTAAAATAGAAGACAGCTCAAGTGTGAAGTCAGACAGAGCAGGCCCTACATTCCTCCATTTCTTTAAAGATAATAAATATAGAACAAGAAATGAAAAGTATAGAGTGTAATGAGAACTCTAGAGTTTTCCTGAAAATCAACCTCTTACCTCCCACAGCAAAATGCAATAGAGAGAAAAGGAGCTGTGTAAGTAAAGTGGGTTTGCTCTGGATTATTACATGCTAATTACTTTGACAGCTGCTTCTGAAGCAACATCTATGCTCAGTGCATATGCATTTATTCTACTGTGTCTGTCTCTGTAGATCTAATTCTGTCAGACCGAGTTATAATTTAAGATCCATGGGAGGAAGGGAGAGGTCTGTGTCAAGCAAATGGTAGTTCTAGACAATAAGAAAGTGGGAAGGATCCTTAGCAGAGCTATTTAGGACACTTGGATGAATACTGCAGATGTGATTAGAAGCAATTGGTTAAAGGCTTTTCCACATCTTGCTCTGCTTCCCATACGTGTAGAAAGAAGAAAGCATGACTTAAAAGAGCATTGTTCACGTATCAAAGTTTCTTATACCGAGCACTGAAAGATCTTAATTATCACTTAGTGACTTTCGTCTTGATCCCATTCCTGGATAAGTGAATTGCAAATAGATCTTGTTATTTTCAAATACTTTGAATATCAATGAATTCCCTACTTACTGTATGTTGCTGACTCACTGGATATTTGAGTCATTATGGGCCAAGTCATGAGGTGTGATTAAGTCTGCCATATAGCCAGGTTTTTCCAGACATGTTGTCCTTATTTCCAGGCAGAATAAGAGGAATATGATTATTTCTTCGCACTTGACACAAAGCCTTGTCAGAGTTCCTGCTTTCCCTTCCCTTCCCTTCCCTCATATGGGCTCACATCATGGGACAAATCCCTACGGGGTTGCACACTACCAGAATGGGGCAGAGTGACTGAGCCCATGCTCACCAGCTCTGCAGAGCACGTGCTGCTACCCCATCGCATCTGGACATGTCAGAGCCACCACAGTGGTGCCTTCACCTTCTGGGTAGAAATCTAGGAGCCCTACAGGCACCAAAACTCCATTTCAGTTAGTAGTAATCAGGGACCATCAGGGACTGTCAGGGTGTCACAGAATCGAGTGCTTTGGCTGTGTTTTTTCCTCTGCCTGTATATGCCTGTATGCGTATTAATTCCTCCTGTTTTACCTACAAGACACAAAGAAATCTCTCTCAGGTTGACTGGTGACATTATGGAGATGGAAATAGTGAGTAGGAACTGGACTTTCTTTAAATCCATGTTAATAGGCTTTTTATATAGTTGTTATGCCTTTACATATTGCAGCCATGTTCTCAAATCCAGGGCACTCTTAAGGAGGTGACAGGCAGGCTCATTTTACAGCCTGACACACCAAGGGGATCCCATGTCTCTACTAATAAGATTTTGGAGTTTACGTCTCCTCACTGGTCTTTTAAGTTACTGATTGTTTTAGAACTTCAATCATTTCTAAATAAAAAGTTTAAACAGTTTTCTGACATTAAAATATTTCCTATGTGTTTGGTGTTGCTGGGAAAAGAAACCCCACTTTTAACATAAACAACTGCTTTTTTTAGGAATGAGGTCTATCTTTTATTAAAATAGAGTATAAAAGTGCATATGGGGTAGGGCTTTTCTTCTGCATTTATATCATACCCTTATTGCTTATTAGGCTGACCTCAGTTTTGGGAGAATCACTTGGTTAGTTCTAAATATAGCATTGCATCTGCCCTTAAATGGGAGTGAAGGGGCAGTAGCCTTTAGAGAGGGGAATTATTTTTGTTTTCCTCAGCCAGGGTTTACTAAGCTGGGAAAGGCTGGTCTTCCTCTCTGCTTTGCAATTTTTCTATATCCCTTGGTAAGTCCATATTACATCTAGGTTTTTCTTGTTCAGAACAAATGGGAGTGATTATGGGAGGGTGTTGGGTGCTTTTCTATAAAAAATAAATTACCTTCTTTGGGGAAAACAAGCAAAAAGCAGGACACACATTGATTTATGAAAAGACAAACAAAAAAGTAAAGTAGAATTGTTTTTTTTGGTGCATAGCCAGCTTGATTTTATTGTCTATTACATTTTGTCTGTTTCTTTCTGCATATAAAGAACTACATTATACCAATCCATAGCTCTGTTGGTATATGTGCTTCTCCAATTGCACATATATTGGCATTGCGTCTTTCTTGTGTGCTTATACTGTATAAAGAGACATAATATGATTTATCTGAAGTATGTGCGTAAATAATTAAGCATAAAATCCTATAGTAGCTGGAAAAACTATTTGGCATGTTGAAGAATAGGATGTAGGTAGGACAAAAAATTCTATTTTTATTTTTTGTCTACCATACTTCCAAGTACATGTCTTCAGAAGACGCATTTCTGGTGTCTGTATTGCTCTAGGCTACATGATGTGTTCTGTGCCACATGAAAATTCTAGCTAAATACCACTGATAGAGTTTTGGGAAATCGTGTTCATGCTCTTGAAGCTATGCCTGTGTGTTGATAATACCTATGAGCCAATGAAAGTATCGTAATGAAGGATAATGAAGGTTGGGATGATAGGAAGTGACTGACACTCACTGTCTTACTGTCTCACAGTCCTTGCTGTCCAGTTGAAGAGAACACTAACCGAGTGAAGGGAAATCTTAAAAGTTTATGGGAACATGTTGTGACTCTTCGTGCATTTGGAGTGCTAGGATGGCAAGGTTTCAAGTCAATGCAGCCAAATTCAGCCTAATTTAATTCCCAGTCATGTAAGATCATGAATTCATAAGAAAACATCTACAGAAGTACTCTCTCTGGACTATATACAGCTTAGCTTATAACAAGGATACGGCAAGAGAAGTCAAACTGGGGGCTTCCACTCCCTTCCATCATCAGAGTCATAGAAAAGCCAGAATTACATTTTTTAGACTCACAACAGTGCAGGAACTGGTGTTCCCCTCCACAACAATGACCTCACTTGAGGGAAGGGTGCCTACGGCTCTGCCTTATACCTATTTGCTGCAGAGCATAGCTGGTGGTTAATTCCATCAAGGGTTGTGGCTATGACCGTGACCATGACCACCCATGGTATATTCCAAATTGCCTCCTCACTAACTGTTATGGCTAGAGGGTGAAGAAAACCATTCAGGGACTATTACAAGCTCAAGGTGTGCATTCTAACTAATAATACGTGTGCTGTAGCCAAATGATTGCATTAAACTACTTAATTTACCTGTATGTCTTTGTTAGCACAATCACTTGACGTAGTAAAATGTTAAAAGTCTACTCATTCAAAACATGAAATTATTAATAAAGAATAGACCCATCTGTGATGGCCAGCATCATCAGCTGCTTGAAAATGTTGCTTTGCTGGACATTCAGATGACTAGAAATCGATGAGAAAACTCCATTTTTAGGCTTAATGAGAAAAGTAATGCTTGTACTTCTGGAGATGATGTGAACAAGATTGAACCTGTTGTCCACAAGATTTCTGTTTAAAACTGATTTGTGAAACTAGGATAATGCTATTCCCATACAAAGGAGGTATGATCAGTAAAATATAAGACCAGCTATGATGTAGTTAAAGGTGTCAGAAGAGAAAAGACAAGGAATCTTAAAGCCTGCTGAGTAATGCCTGGAATTCCATATGGTTTAAGCAAATGGGAATTCCATATACTTTTTTAATTTCAGAAGCATTTGTATTCTGTTGTCAAAGAAGTTAAAACTGAATTCTTATTATGCAGAAGGAAAAAACTCTTCAATGGGAAAGATAGAAGCATCTTAAAATGACAGTAGATTGTGTGTTTTAAGTTCATCCTTTTTCATATACAGCATATAATTTTCTGTGAAAGATCTAAATTCACACATGCACGCAGAGATAGAATACTGGAGAGACATAATAGCATTTTAAAAGTTTGTTACCAAAATGGGGAAGATGTTACCAGACCCTCTACCTCCCATTCTGGTTTAGACTGCAGTGTCTATGAGCTGCATAATGATTCATGCTGGTTTTACAAGATTTCCACCAAAGTAAGTTTCCTGGTGGAAAATATTCTTATGTTATTATCTACTGAAATTTCTACAGGATTGACAACCATCTGGAAAGGACCACATGTTTTCTGAGGCAATATGGTAATTCTTTAAACTGGTCATTAGAAGCAACTGATGACTAGAAGGTCGTGGTTTTTTTTTTTTTTTTTTTTTTTTTTTTTTTCTTCTTTTTTTTCCTTTTATCTCATTGTGGCATATAGGCAGTATGGAAGGAAAAATATTTTATCGACTAAATGTCATGGGCTTTAATGTATCGTGGAAGTATACATTGGCAAAACAGGGCTTCCTAAAACAACTTAACTTTGAACAATGAACAACAAGCAGAACTACAGACAGGTAGAGGAAACAATGCCTACATCATGGGAAAAGCAGGACAAACCCTCAAGTCAATACAAATGGTCAAAGATACTTAAGAAAGGTGAGATACAGAGGAAGATCAAGAATGAGGATATGTGCATAGGAGCAGGATGTACTGATCTTTCAGCCAGAATGAGGAGGATAGCCTATGTGAGGGCAGGCAAGAACCCACAAATCGTTTTTGGCACTTCTGCAGATGGACAAGGACAGAGATGAGCAAAGAAAGTGCATGTTGCATGGTATAGCGTTGACAGCTCAGGCAGAGAAAGTACATGCTGTATAGTGCATCGCTCATGACAGGAGCCTCCTGAGCCTAGGAATGCAAGTTGTCTATCTATGGTGAGCACAACCATGTTCTCCTTTTCATGGCATTTGTCAATCCCATCCATCAATTTATTTGGCTGTGTGCCTGCTCTCTGAGGCTGTGTGAATGATCATGCTAGAATTTACTGCCTGTCTTTTAAATCTTAAATTAACTCACTTATCAAACTAACAATGTCTATATCAGACCTTTGGCTTCTCTGCTCAAGAATGTAGCACCTTGTCACGTGGCCTTAGATTATTGCTTTCTATTCAGATCAGTATTACTATGGCATGAAACTATGCATATCCTGGCTTGGGAACTCTGCCTTTTACTCATGACCAAGTATAAATTGTTATATACATGCTCCTAAGCATGTGAAAATGTATATTCATGTAGACTGGTTTGAAGAGTCTAATTAATTTGTGTTTTGTGTCATTAATCCTTAAGGGCATTTTGGCTGACTTAATAATTTTGTTTGGGTTTAGTAGTCTTCTGAGTGGTTCATACAGAACATAGATTAGTGCAGTTTAGGTCCTGTTGATGTCCCCAGCATTTACAGTCATGGAAATAAACAGTAGTAGTAGTAATAATAATAATAATAATGACATAAGAATACAATGGTGCTGTGTTCCACCAAAGAAGTAGAGGTCAGATGAGAGACTAAGCGTTTTAGGACCATCTTGTCCTGTAACTCTAGGTCTTTTTTTTGAAATGCAGGGAAGTTAATAGGATCTGCGTCAGTGAAGTTCAAGGGTTGTTTTTGACACATGGGCCATATATTTCAGCAAGTTGTCTGTAACTCTTGTTGTCACATACCAGTAGAATTTGGTGAATAAAACTTGGGATTTGCTTTTTAATTTGTTACAATTATCCAGAAAATTAATTAATTTTTCTCTCAGACTATTTATGCATTTTTTGTTGAATTTTCAATTTCCCATTGGGATTTTTTTTTTTTTTCTGAATGTCTCTGCCAGACCACTGCCTGCGTCTTGCTGTTTGGTTGGTTCCACCAACTGACATGCCAGTATAATTAGATGTCCAGGCACTACCAGTAATAAAATCTTGGTTCACCTAAAATGATAACTTCACTGGGGCTAAGCTGTCATCTGCATATCACGTTATCTAACTCTGTTAGTGGTAGGTTGACTAAATATTAGTATGTATTTCAAACATCTCACATAAATGCGTATCAGTGGAAAACTGGGAAAACAGTCAACACATTGTTCCTAGGAAGACAACGGAAACTTCTCTTATCATGAACTCAGGATACCCTACATGCTCTGTAGACTCTGCTGAATCTGGTTTTACAGTAGGGATGTGATTTTGCTCTTCAGATACTCATCTTTGCAGCACTATTAAGTATTAAATACATACTCTGCAAGCATCATTGTAATTAACTGATGATGATTATTACATTTGGAATTGTTGCCAGGCAGCTCCCCTCTGTGTTAACAGAAGGCAAAATGACTCTGGCTGCTAACAAGCTCAGTTAATTGCTTGTATGGAGGCTGGGAGTGAATGGCTACACTTTTTTTTCTAAGGGTGTTTGGGTAAATGTGAAAAATATCTGAACCCAAATTTTGAGGAACCCTGGGTGCTGATTAATAGAACAAGATACACTAATTAAAATGTAAGTTTTACATTTAGTGGAAAAGGCTGAACTGTAAAAGGCAAATATGCTTCTCCTATCTCAAAAATGAAAATGACCCAGACTGTGACCCATCCAGACACATGGGCATTACTATGCAACTCTTATACATCATAGCTCAGTGGGAATTATATACATAGTAACACATAAACATAAATTGCTTGTTGATAAATTCACAGAATTATTTAACTGGGCCACATGTGAACATAAGTAGCACTTAAGAGCTGAGTCAGCTTAATCTATGGGTTTGCCCTTTGCACCTTCATTTAAGTGAAAGGGCTAATTAAAAATAGAAAAGAGGGAACATTACACCATTAACTGTCCAGTTAACGTACAAACTAAGGGGGAAGTCAAATGTCATATACACAATAGTCACACAGTTAGCAGGAAGAAAACCAGTATTTGATGTCTGCAGGTATAGCATAATGTCATGTGCAGACACCAAAACTAGGAGAAGCCAAGGCTGCTCATGGGTCTGTGTAACTGTGTGCATGTAACTAAGACAATGTGTCATATGATGAGTTGATATGTCCATGTCAGCTCAGCATTGCATGAGGGCACCTAACTAAGCTAGCATCTCTTCAAGGTGCTGCACTGTGCTGTACTAACTTGGGTCACGTTAACTTTTTCGTTTCTCTAGAAACATGGTAATATTATTCTTTAATGTCCCATAGTAATGTTGTAAACTTGTTTTATTTTTGTCTTGCAGTGTCTGGTATTTTGCCTAAAGCTCTCATTCCTGAACGTGTGATTTGTCATTCTCGTATCTCTTGAAAAAGGACTGAAAAGGTAACTGTAGGTTATGCAGAAGATGCAGCTAGCAGGTGATAAATTGCAAAAACTCATCTCTTTAGATCTCATGACTTTTTTTTAATAAGACATATCTGCTATTAAATATACCTACTGTCTTCTCCTGCAGAGACTTTTTTCTTGGAAAAGTAAAACTAGCTGATGTGTGAACTTTATGACTTGGGGCCATCTGCCTCAGATTTTGAGTACCTGAAACTAACAATCAGACACAGCTGGAATTTATTACACTACTTAATCAATAAATAGCATTTCCTTTTGTTGGTAAATACTATATGCTAAAAATATGGTATTTACAGGTATTTAACCATGTTTAAAGGTTCAAATTCTTAGCCTATAAAACATGGAGGGGGGGATTTAATTAATTCAGGTTTAATTTTATACAGTTCAGGCAAAATTGCCAAGCAAACACATAAAATAAAGTGACTTGCTAAACTAAGAGTTGCAGTCTTTCATTGAATCATCTTACATTCTTCTTTCTAAAAATATGACATGTTGTATAAGAAATCTAGCTCTCATTTTTCAAGAATAAATTGCTGCAATGAAATGTAGAATATGATTAGTTCTGCATATACAATCTGGCTAGTGATACAATTAGAAAAACGTAAACAAGTAACACTTTAACATGCAAAATTCTGGATAATATCTGTAATTTTTCAACAATTTTATCATTGCTTCCCATTCTCAAATGAGGTTTTTGCAAAACGATTTTTCAAAACATGAGATACTATTAAAAATTCCATTATGTGACATAAAACATCATTGCTTTCAGAATAAAAAATAAACATTTAGAAACCTATTTTCAGCAATATTTTATTAAAGTACGTTGATTGCATGTACTTGTCACACAATAAAGAGATTAATGAAACAAAAAAAATTGCATGGAATTTGAAAGTTGACAATGAAGTAGTGACTTCAATTTTGAACTAGATCTAATTTTACCAGAAACCACTTTTTTCCTGAAACAGTTATTAATTGAATTTTAATGTGAGTATTGTTCGTTTTTGTCCTGAAAGCACATATCTCCAGGTATTCGATAGGAAACGGAACAAAGCCTAAAACTGGTCAGTACCAGTGCCTTTGACATTAAGTAAGAGGAGCTCATATTATATCTAAATGAGTTTATAAAATTTCTATTCAAATCCCTTTGAGCTTTCATTTTATATGCATCATGAGATTGCCTACTTACGGGACTTTTTGTGACAAATGCAGACTTTTGGTGTGGGTCTGAGGATTTCCATCACAGGCAGGTTCTTCCTGGTGAGGCCCATGGCCAGGCAGGGCTGGGCTGCAGCATTGCTGGGGCAGGGCTGATGGCCCTGGGGGCTGAAATGGGTCCCGGGCTGTGGGCAGAGTGGTGGGAGCCCTGGAGGAAGCTGGGCAGGGCCAGTCAGGTCCATTGCTGCCCCCAGGACCCTGATACCCTCTTAACATGGCTCCTGGATGAGCTAGTGTTGCTTAACTTCCCATGGGTAGCCCCGAGGTGGGTCCCAGGCCATGCCTCTGCCTGTGCCCCAGCTTCTGGAGTGCAGCTGACAGGCTGCACGCCGCATGGGAGTATAACAATGGGGATGTTCCCCTTACTTTTCAAGAGGAAATTAGATGTAACTGCAGGAATTTGCCCCACTGAAAACACCATGATTTGGCCCATGCTGCTTTATAGACTTTGTGTTGGGAAATTGCTTCCTTTGTCGCTGACATGGTTTAGTCTAGTCTACCCTTGATTGGTTTAGTGTGGACTTGGTAGTGTAGGTTAATGGTTGGACTGGATGATCTTAAAGGTCTTTTCCAACCTAAATGATTCTATGATTCTATGACTTGCACCCATGTCTTGGGGATTGTGCTGGCTGTTCAGTTGCCCCCTGGAATCCCTCACCGCCATTTAGGCCAAGTGGCTCAGGAGTAAAAAGCCCCGCATCCAACCAAGACTGTAAATGGGACTTATTCAGCAGACGGTAGTTACACAAGCTGACGCCTGCTCAGGACATGGCTGGTAACATTCCCTACTTTGGCAAGAAGTTGTCGTCGTATTTCTAATGAACCTAAAGGGATGTGGGCACCTCTGGGTTATTTTATTGCCATAGTTGGGAATTTGCTTAACTCCAACTCAGTGGTAAGCATGTTCTTCCCACCCATGCTGCTTCTGGGAGCTCCCTGAATGTTCCTGAGAACTTCCTATCCAAATACTGATCAAACTATGCTATTCTTTGGAGAAAAAACACAGGAGGGCAACCACAATGATTAGAGGTCTAGAAAAAATAATCCATGAGAAAAGATTGGATGAGCCAGCTTTGTTTAGTTTAAATAAGAGAGCTGAAAGGAGATGTGAACAAAATCTTCAGCAGGCTCCTGCAAAAGTGGGTGAATACGGTCTATTTGTTGTTGTCATGGTGAATTGGACAAGAAACTGAGCATAAATTGCAACAAGGGACAAAGTAAAAGGTTTGAAGAGCAGAGAGCTGAAACACCTAAAAATGCCCAAAAAGCTGTCAAATTTCCATCCCAGGAAATTTCTATGGAGGTATTAAATGACATCGGCAAAGAAGGGGAAAATGATCTGACAAATTCTCTTCTATCTCTATCATCTGTGATTCCATGGCTCACTGTGTGGCTGATAAAATACATCCTGAGGTGCCCATGTATATCACCGATGGCTCTATTTGTCATAAATTGATGGAATTGTAGACATTTATACATGTATACACATATGTGTATGTATGTAAAAATACCAGCCCTAAGTGTCTGAAATATATGGCTAAATGTGATTTCACTGTCTGCAGGAATTACTGATTCTAACAAACTGAAGTATGTCATCAGTAGTGGTGCCATTTTACCAGAGGAGACACAAGCACTTTGATCAGTCCTACCGCAACATTCAGACAAGATATGTACTTGAGGAATATGCAGCAAGAAAGTAAGTGCCATGTATTTTACTTACACAGCATAGAAAGGTTTCTATTTTGGGTAATCAGGTCTTAGAATCAAGATATTTAGCTTCCCCCTCCACCCCCCACCCTCAAAACTGTGATTTATTCAGAATGGTAGGTTTCCACTTCCTTCCTTTGGGATGCTCCTTGTTTGTAGTCTCTCACCAGCACAGATAGACTTTCTAGCTATGTTACAACTCACCTCCACAGACCTTTTAGCTCAGGATCTGTCCTATTTACTACCTCCAAGTTGGAAATCCTTCCTTTTAGGCTCCAGCTGAAACTCTGACTTAAGAGAAATTGCCATGAAATACGTCGTATATCATAGAAACAGCCTTTTACCCATTCTTCCATATGACATGAGGATAGCCCATTCTCCTGAAGCTCGCTATTCCTAATTATAGTTCTTGTCACTCAATTTCCTTTTTCTAAAATGAAATAAAGGTTTAACTCCTCTTATGTGAAATTCAGAGTTTTAGCCACAATATACATGTTCTTTGTATCTCAAAGCCTGGAGCTTTGAATCTTTGTTGCTTAAGAATCACTGTTCTTCCTCCTCAGTAATTAAGATGCCTAGGTAGCCTAGCTTAGCCGTCTAGCTTGTCCAGCTTCGCTTTTGAAAGAGGAGAGTTTATGCAGAAAGTTATGTGAAGTACAGAAAGGCAGGAATATTTAGAAACAGGCAAAGTTATAGGGATTCTGTGTGGTTTCTGTATTGGACAGGCAGGTACCCTCGTGGTTCACTGAAGTGCTATCATAGCACTTGAATGATTAGAGACTGCGAGAAGTATAAATTTAATAGAACTGAATGAAATGAAATGCCTAATGATCCCCAATGACAGATGATGGGCATTAAGCCCTTGAAGGACAAGTGAGAATCAGCACCCTAGTGCAGTTAGTGAGGAATGCAAAGTAGGTTTCTCACTGAACAGTGCTCAGTCATGGTATTCAGCTCATTTAAAGTAATTTCTTTGACTTTTGTGAGTTCATGTTTCAGCAGAATTGCTGGGTTATAACAATGTCTTTTATATTTGAAGGGCTGCTTCCAGACAGGCTGCTTATTATGAATCACCTGGCTTGGGAAAAACGACATGTAGACTCTGTGCCAGGAGGGCACGCACCTTGGCTCATGAAGCAATACAAGAATCCAGGAAAAGGTAAAGCTCTGTTGGTCCCATCTGACCTGTGTTGTGGCTCTGGTCCCATTTAGTATATCTCTTTTGCCAGGGCTCTTCTGAGAGTTGACAAGATTGGAGGCTTCTCAGTCACTGTTTTTCACTAATCTCTTTTGGCTGGAATACTAAATGACTGAGTGTCACTTTCAATCTCATATTTCAACCCAGAGTTCTTCCCTTAATCCCTACTCTGACCCTTGAAAACAGCTTTAAAACAAAAATAATTTAGAATCTGCCTGGGATCCAAAACTTGGTTTTGAGCAGATCTACTTTACTATTCCTGAAATTCTGGTTTGGATCAATTTAAATATTTTGAGTTATTTCTGTTATTTCCTTAATATCAAGAGAGCTTACAGTCACGTCACAGTTACGGCCTCGATATGAAGTCCTATAGTAAATGTGCTGACTGCAATATTCCTGTTAGTGAATTTGACTGTTTCTGCCCTGCCATGCTCCACAATGACTGCACCAAAGACATAGAGAATTTACGTTACAAGAATGGATTCTGCCTTGTTTGTAGAAAATGTATTGTGACAATCATGTACATCCGTATGGTTCTGGTTCTTTGATTGTTTTGAAATATATATCCTAGAAACAGAATGTGCTAGCAAAATCAAACTAATTTGTATAATCTATTTTTTAAAAAAACTGTCTTAAATTTCATCACTATAAAAAAATGCATGGCAGAACAAGGCTGGTATTTAAAGTACATTGAAACGGTGCAAAGATATATTTTTAAAATACCAGACAAATAACGTCTTGATCTACTGTTCACTGAATTTCATGCATGCATTCTCATTTGCTTCACGGCATGTTGGGTTATGCTTTAAGAGTCTTGCCATATTCTATAATGACAGCCATGTTAGAAATTTCTGATATTCAGCTCTTTTCTTTTGTCCTGTTGGCAAGGCAAAGAGTAGCATAGGCTGCTTACTGAATCAGCATGAATGCAGGAGCTTGGGCTAGCTGCTCCTAAAAACATTTATGAGGTGATTTTGTTTAGAAATTCTGAAAAATCTGTGGAGATAGATTTTCAAGGACCAACCCACAAATTTCTCAAAAAGTTGTCTTTTCCTGGTAGTTTCTATAATAACTTCCTGCTCACTCTTGTCCAAGGGCAGCTTAGCTTTTTTGCATGCAGCGTTTCATCAAATCCTCGTGAACTCCTCGGTCTGTATCTTTCAGGTGAGGTCAGCTGATACAGCCCATGGAGCTAGCAGAGCTTCCCAGGTGCTAGAGACAAGGGTATACCACAAGCAAGGCCCAACTCTTATCAGGGTGTGAACAGGCACAGAACATGCCTTCACTCTTCTGCCTTCTTGTGTCCATGGGAAGGAAAATTAGAGGCCAGAGGGAAGCCAGGAAGGTTCTTGATCTTGATTACCAGAGGACTAAGACTGTGGGGTGTCACGTCAACGTGACCACGTCAGCTTTCAAGACCTGAAGCTATGACACCACATATACAGGGGAAAGAAAATGAAGGAAAATTCATATTAATTTCACATGTTCATTAGGATAGGTAGATAGACTCTAAGAAAACTTCCTAAACTAGATTTTACATCTTGCTGATATGGTTTCAGAGCCCTCAGTTGCCTAATGTGTACGAGTGACAACCTTAAAGCTTCATGTTGGTTACACTTACCTGATATTTTTTCTTGTCCTACAGGACTCATGAACAAAAATCTCATGCAAGTGACGAGAAAAGGATCCGTTTTGCCAGTGAGTTGTCTGCTTTGGAAAAAGAGATTCACACAGCCAGACACCGTGCTAGAGAACATCTGGATAGACTTACTATACAAAGGATGGTACAGTGCTGAACATTTTTGTTCCTACCTAAGCAGAATTATAATATATACTGAAATTTAGGCCTGCGTTTCAAATACCAACAGTGACTTAGTATCTTCTAATTTTATGGATTTAAGATTAGATCTTCTACCTCATTTGAGTCTGGTGCTAGATGCTTCTTTTCTTTTCCTGTGTTTAATAGGTAGAAGAAAACATGGCTCTGGAAAGACATGCTTTTGAGGAAAGTATAAGTCGAGCTCCTGAAATTCTAGTGCGCCTGAGGTCTCACACTGTCTGGGAAAAGATGTCTGTGAGCCTTTGCTTCACTGTACAAGGATTTCCCACTCCTGTTGTACAATGGTAAGAGACTGGCCTTTCCTAGCCCTCTAAAAATGTTGTTAAGCTTTTTTCATTTGGAAGATATGACATAACAGATAAGTGTCACATGCATAATGGCTATGTTAAACCCCCTTTATAATCCTCATAGATGTCCTGGATAGTAGCAGTTGATACTGCAGTGGAAGGAGTGGTAGGACAGCTTGCTGAATGGCCCTGTGCAGTGTGAGAAGCAAACTCGAGTATTTCAGAAGGCAGACTGTGGAAGCCATTCCAGTATTTCTGGCTATTGAGTTCCCTGATGATGAAGTAGCACATGACAAAATACACAGAGCTCCCAGGCTACTTGCTAAGTCTGGGTAAACTTGCACAGCGCCATTGTTGTCATGGGCTGTATCCATGTTCACTTTGTGTCAGTCTCTGTTGAGGTGGCCAGTAGTGTAACACCCCTGAAGCTGCCCTCCTCTCTAGACAAGTGCTGTCCTGTATATGAGAGCCCCAGGCTGGACTGTGAAGATCTAACCTGAGGCACAATCCTGTTCCTGCTTCCCTTGTTTGTGCCAAAGTGCTTTACTGTGCTCCGAGACAAAGTTTGCTTACCACCTTGTGTCAGGGCTAGTGGACCAGAAAGTTCAAGTCACACGCCAACTTCTCTCTACTTCACTGCCTGCTCTTCTGGTTTGGGTGCACATGTTCTCTTTCCACTTTCTTAATGCAATGATGGTCCCCCTTTGCCTTCACGGCCCAATGTGTATCTAGCCTTACATACTGCAAAATACTCTGTACAGGTAGAGAAGATTTATAGAGAGAGCTCAGATGATAGTAAATGGTATTTGGATGTAAAAATCTACTAAATTAATGCAGTGAATAGTAGCTGATATTAATGAGTTAATTTTTTCTTGATTGTCAGGTACAAAAACGAGGAATTGATTACCCCTGCAAGTCATCCAGCAAAGTACAGAATTGAAAGCAAATATGGAGTACATGTGTTGCATATAAACAGGTAGATTATTCTGGGGAATGCAACAGTTTTTTATGCTCTACACAGAGTATTTTATATCAAATGCAATTAAAAATTCATACAAAGGCTGCAAGAGTTGTTAAATTCAGCACACTTCTCTGTTGGTACTCACATTTAGGCTAGAGAAGGTTCAGTAAGTAGCTAGATATTAGATCATGAAAATGAAATGAAAAATTAGATATTTCTGCTATTTAACTCCAGCAATCTACCAGACAATAGAAAAAAAGAGGTAAGTAGCTGAAAGAATGGTAGTTCCTTTTTTATTAGAATTATCTCTTCTCAGCATTCAAAGTGGAAAATTGTCTGTGTATTTTATGTTGTTGCCATGATGAAGGTCTATAAGGTGAGCAAAAATTGAGCTGGTCAAGGCAAGGATACCCAGCCATCAGTATTTTTTTTGCTATATGTTAGGTTCTGTTTTTTGTTCTCCAAAAAGTAAGGAAGTGTAATTTTTTTTTTTAAATGTTTTAATTTTATTAATTTTATTAATTTTATTTTTCAAATGATGTTAACCTTGTGGTATAGAAAATGCCTGGGTAGAGCAGCTTCCCAAAACTAATCCCGTGCTGTCCTAAACAATTGAAATATTTCATGTCACAAGTGACTTGCTGCAAGCTTTTTTTTCAATATATAAAACCCCAAAGAAAAATGAGGACATGACTGTGGTATTTAAAAAGAAAATTAATATCTAGAGCAGAGACACAAAACCTCCCTTTTTTAATTTCTCTGGAACATGAGCATCAGCTGTGCTGAAACAGCTGGAATATTTGTGGCTAATGCTTGACTAGCCAAACATTTTGTCTTCTGCCCTGTCTCCATCCATCAGCGGTGGAAGCAGCCCTGAGCACAGCCTTGTGGCATTAGTACAGAAAACAAGTGCATCACTCCTTCTGCTTTCGGGAAGGACCACTTGCCTTTGTCTTCCTGCAACAAAGTCCAGCCCAACTTTCCACCTTTCCATAGCTCAGGATGGGAGAAACGTATCCCTGTACAGAAGCAGTCAGCAAGAACCACTATGCTGTTGATCTTTAAGGGATGCTTTGCAAGGAGTAGCAGTACTTATGAGTACTTCTAATATGCTCACAGTCTTCTACCCCCAGACTATGGGTAACTTGCTGAATGCTCTCTGTATCCATGAGGTGTCTCAACACAGCTGATTCTTCCCACCAACATTACTTCTGGAGATGAGAGTAGGAGGTTAAAAGGTAAAAACAGGTTGTCTTCCTGCAATCCCTTGCAGCAGGGAAAATGGAAAATGCTCTCCTTTGTCTGGATGTGTGTGAGTGACAGTCAGGAGATGAAACTTTGGTGACTTCCTGCTGGTGAGTGATGGTGACTGTGTTTATTTCCCTTGGCTAGTGTCCATGGGCAGCTGCTTGGTGAGTCCAGGTGCTGGATATGCAGTATATAGGTTCCTTTTTATGACATTTTGGGAGTAAATGGCTTTTTGAAGAAATGAGAATCAGTGTTGATGCTGCTTTCTGAGCATCTGTAAGCATCAGGCTGAAGGGTACTAATGGCTTACATCCCCTTGGTGACTTTTTTTCTCTTTCCTGTGCCAATTATCTGTTGTGTAGACACCATACACAATCAGCTTTGCAAGTGTTCGGACCCAGCCATTTTTATTTGGACATACCACAGAGTCATTTATTGGCACCCACTGAGGTTCCCACACCCACCCATCACCACCCACTGTTTACTAGTCCCAGAGCTGTACGTATCCATGCAGACTCCCTTGCGTTCAACCAAGCTGCCACCTTCAGAGGCTGTTGCTCCATTTCTCTTTCATTTTGTCTGGCAGTACGGTCTTTTTGCTACCTAAAGATGCCTGGCTGCTCTCCTACAGGTTTCCCTTCTCCTCTTAAAAGAATACTGGGGGATTGTAGATGCAGAGTTATGACTTTTTTACCATAGATTTATACAGTTTATTAAATTAAAATTTCTAACCTTAAATTTATTTCTTTATTTCTAATCTATTTTATTTCAAAACTTGACCATCAGCCATATTTTCTGTCCCAAAAGACAGAAAATCAACATGCAGGAAATGAAAGAATGTTTTGATAGTGCATTACTAATATTAGCTGTTTCTTGTATTGAAAACAATGGACATAGAGGTAGTGGTTAAAATTTATATATCATTAGTGTTTTTATACAACCATGTATCAGTTAACTCTGGATCTTCCATACATATCCTTGTGCATATATATTTGGAGTATTATTTTTTTTTCTGGGAAGTAGAACCATTGGGATTTTCTACCTATCCACTTCTGTGCTCTTCTCAGCTGTTCATACCAAAGTGCTGAGCGGCATGTCATTTGATCCGCAGCCACTCAGAATGGCCTTGGAATGTCTTGGCTTCATTCTAGCTCTTCAGTGAAGCTCGGGGAGTGAACTTTTCCTTCTGATGCAAGTGTGATATTTATTCCTATGAGTATGCCTTGATCGCAGTGGAAAAATTCTTGAGGCACCAGAACAAGAACGTCACCTTGTCATCTTAAAGTAGTAACTGGACACAATTTCATCCCCCCCGTTTGCTTTCTTCCAGGGCCCATAAGCCTATACAGTAACCAGATCATTTTCATTTTTCTGTCTTATATTTTTATGATGCTTTGTGCTCAATTTACCACATTTTCTGCATGCATTCAATGCTATCATTATCATATAGTGCTGCTTTCTTGCTCCTTTTAGGCTTCTTCAGTTGGGAGCTTGAGCTCAAGGTCTCCCTTGAGCAATAACGAAAATGGGTTTGGAGTATTTTTTGCACATCTTGTAATTATAGGAGAAGAGATATTGCCAGCCTGCACTGGGGTAGTGGTTCATCTCATCTTTCATCTCACTTCTGACAGGTGATTCAGAGGAGACTGTGGGACTCCTCTGAGGGAAAGCTAGCAGTAGTTGAAGTGATTGATACATGTCTGAGAATGTGAGGGTTTGTTTAAAATGTATTTCTTTATCCCGCCTAATTTAACTATGGATAGGCACATAATACAAGAAAAGATTTCTATATTAGAGGTAGTCAAGATGAGGATGCCCTGTTGCTTTATAGCATAGCTGCAAAATATTTTCTGCTTTAGTATATATCTTAATAATTAAAAATCATAACATTTTGAATTTCTTAATTGCTACTATTTGTTTAGCAACAGGTTTTGGGTTTTTTATTTGTTTACTGTGATGCGTCCTTAAATGAATCACTTAGCTTTATGCAACTGTGAATGGCTACATTACATTTCCTGATATGTTGGCTGAGGAATAGAGGGGACAGCAGTGTGCTCCTGGCTGGGGGGCATTACTGACCCTCACCCCTCAGTGAGCAGGCAGGTGAGCTGATGTGGGCTGGATGGCAGAAGGAGCAGGGAAGAAACTTTGATTTTCCAGAACTCTGTCAGTGTGATGTGGCTGCACAGTCTCACCTATACAGGGCTTAAAGTTTGGCAGTATTTTGTCTTTTATCAGGGCCCTCTCCTGTTTCATTAAGTCATCGCTTAAGAAGTGCTTGTAATTGCAGCAGAAAAGGTTTGTGGTTGCATCAGCAAAAATGTGTTGCAGAGCCAGCAGAGTGCAGTGTAATACCTGCTGCCAGGAGGCAGAGCTAGCCCTGATCAGGCGCTCAGCTCCTCAGCACCGCCAGCATTGCTTTAGCAACAACAAAAAAAGCTTAAAAATTGAATGAACCTTCTCTCCTAACTATTCTCATTTAACAAATGACACTGTGCAGTCAGTACAGCACTATTTATTTTGATTAGGCACAAAAGGCTTGAGATGATTTAATCTGGAGAGGTAGAGAGTGAGGCCTGCCCTTTCGCTGGAGGTGGAAGCAGTGCAGAGTAGAGGCATTGCGGCAAAGGCAGTCCTCTGGCAGCGCCTTTGAGCTGTATAGGGTGGATCAGGTGATAAACTGCAGCTCCCAGGGTTTCACAGGTATGCGGTACCATAGGCAGCACGGTGTACTTCTGCTCTTCTTTCCGTGCTGAAAGGCAAACAACCACCCTCAAATGAAATGGTCTGTGATCTTCTGACCTGTCAGTCACGGTCCCCCGTAAGCTGCAATAGTTGGGAGCTTGAGGAAGTGGCCACCTCGTAACAGAGGTCCCCTCCTCAGTAAAACCAAAACCCAACCAAACAAAAAAAATCAGTCAGGTTCAGTCTGACTGGAGATTCAGTACATGAGATGGTATATTTCCACATTTTGATGTCATATAGCCATAACACTGAAAATTTTGTCATTTGAATTCAAAGGAGGCAATTTTAACTCTGTCTAATTTACTACATTCTGCTTCCTGTTCTTGACATGCACCGAATTGTGTTCCAATTCAGGCAAAAATGTTATTTCACTCTTAACTCCTGTGTTTAAATCTACACTAGGCAGATGGATGAATATATGCATTTTAAACAGATGTATCTGCCTGGGGAATATTCCCCGCACAAACATTAGCGCTTCAGAACCTCATGTGGATTCAGGGCAATTTAATTTTCACAAAAATTATTAATACCTTGGGACAGATCAGCTCTGCACTCACACTTCATGCTATCTAAATGTACTCTATGCATATTTTATCTGACCTTTGTAAAGGTTGGAAAACACGTTCTCCATCACAATGCAAGAATAACTGTTGGAGAGACCACACCTTGCCTCCTGGGTACTTCAAATATCATTTTTAACTGGTCTTGACTCAATGCACTTTACTGTGCCACTTAGGAAATCCAGGGGTTTTAGCATACAGGGAAGTAGATAGTCTCCAGGACAATCCTCAGTCTGAGTATTACCTGGCACAAAAGGAGAGTCAACACCTTATGTGACTTGCCATCCTGCCCAACTTTCTTCAAAGTGTATATTAAACAAATGGGCTGTGTAGCTCTTTCCCACTAACCCCGTACACTTCCGATACCAGATTTGAAGGCAGTCCAATGAGTACTAGGCTATCTAAGTTGCTTTGATTTATCTCCTGGAGAGACAGGTGAGATGTTGTAGCAAGAAATTGTAAGATGCCTTCAAAGCAGTGACTTCCAGAAAATGGGTAGAGTTGTTAGGACCTCTTAAATAGCGGAAAGTGCCTGGACTGGGGAATTGTTACCTGTATGTTCATAATAACTGTAAGTACCTTGTTTCTCTTCATAAACCCAAAGCATGTTGTAAGAACATGGTCAGTCATTTGGTCAGTAACTTCTTTCTTTTGTTGTCCCTGAGAAAATTAATTCTCACTCCACCACTAACTTCTGTCAAAGAGTTGCTTTCAGACATTGAACTTTTGGGGCTGAAGAAACAACCCTTTTGTGAATCTTCTGTCTGTTCTAGAGACTTTTAGGATCATATTCTGTTTTGTCTACTTTGGAGACTGACAAATGGGAAAATCTCATCAAGAGATCTATTTTGCTATTCCTTAAGAGAGAGCAAGGCTATGGGGAGGGGATCGAGATGAACACAGATATATATCCATTTGGAAAGTCAGTCGGGTATCTGCTATTCTGCTTCTTCATTTTAGGGAGACAACTTTGCAGTACTTACACCCCTAAATTTCTGATGCTTTGAGTGGTCAAGCACAGACTGGGGCCTTGCTTTTGTTCAGGACACACATTTCTGTAATTTCTGGATTATTTTCATGCCACCTTGTGGTTAATGGTAAATCACTCTTTAGATCCTGAATCCTGTGTAATTCTTAGAGACATGAATTCCTATTGACTGTTTTATCTGTTTTGATGGAAAATGATGCCAACACTGAAAACAGATGATGACTATTTTAAAGTGATAGTTAATCAGAGTTAACCTCAGTTAAGATATACTGTTATTTTATCCTTGTTGTCAACACTCTGTAACAACAAGAAGATGTTAAAGAGCAGTTAAGCTGGATTTGACAGAAGCAAAGCAGCCTGAAGTAATGCTTTGCTTATGCGAGGGAACAGCCTAATACAGCAATGGTGGGGTAGCGTTCATCACTCAGTTATGATATGGGTGCTGTAAGCTGCCTAAATCATGTCCAGCCCACCGTTGAATCAGCACCTCATCAGCAATCGCAGCATGGCTCCCCCAGCACATACCCTGTCAGATGTAAGTATGCACCAGCCTCCTGGAGGGTCTGGCATATACCTGCCACTGGTGCTTAGGAACTGCACTTCTGAAATCTGCTTGCCATAGCAAATTAAACATATCCTCTGCCACAGTGGCCTCCTGGCATGGGATGGACTAATTCTCTTGTCCTTTAGGACAGGGCAGCTACACCCAGACTGTTTTCTGGGAATGGACCCTTGCTATCTCCTGACCTGTGTCCGGGAATACTTTTGGAGACCTGACACACACCAAGGCATGCCAAGGGCTTTTCTAACACACCAGCACTAGAGTGATCAAGATCCAGTTTCTGGGGATGTTACCTAACACTCTTTAATTTACTAATACATAATATATGCTATTAAATATAATATGTACTATATACTGTTTACTGTATACTCCATATATCTCCTTAAAGTAGGGATGTAGTGCAGAGTGATGGAAACACCTTACAGTTCCAGTACAGTCAGTTCTGCAATGCCCCTTCTTGTAAGAAATTTTTGAGATGCCTCATTTGTTGTTAGCCTGTTTCATTACAGCAAGACCCTGTACTGGGCTGTGAGAAATGTATGAATTATATACATTTCAGTATAGGGACATTAAAACATGTCTTAGGAAAGAAGTCTGCAGTTTTACTGCAGTTTTGCCTTGCTTTTGGCATTTTATCACCTAAATGTTAAATAGTGTGAAACTGGGATAGTAAAAAAAATCATTCTTGTTTTTAAGAATTTGGTGCAAAGAAATGTCATCAAGTCTGACAGCCTTCAAGCAAGTCCAGAATCAGTTAAGCTTTATATAGATCTGTGAACAGGTATTGGCATTTTTTAAAGCCTTCCTGAAAGCAACAACAGAAAAATGTTGAATAATATCGAGCTTAGCATTTCAATTCTTTTAAACTGTTTTTCAGACTTACTTTGCCTAGCCATACTGCAGTAGGGTGCTCAAGGGCTTCATACCCAACTGCAGGCTTTTTGGTTAAGTGGCCTAATCTTATGACTTACGCCTTTGATAATTAATGGTATGATAAACTTTGTATTTTACGGCTTTATTTTGTGAAATGTGTGGCTAAAGATTAGCCTCCAGGAGGAGCTGTTAGTCCTGTATGTTTAGAGAGGTAAGTCTCAATTTAATAGAGCTTTCATCAGGTTGTGTTTTAGACATCACTGTGCAGATAGTATCACCTTTGTGATATGACACTGTCCAGAATATATGCAAGGGCTGAAAAATAAGTGTCTGATGTGCCCGTCACAGGTGCTACATACCCCCAAACTGGCATCTTTTTATGCAATTTACATCAAACACTTTTACATATTCTTTCTTCTCTCACACCTGGGATATATGACCTCTTAGAAGGCAAGTGCAACCAGAATTTCATCCCTTTCATCTGGCAGTTGCCAAGAAGATAGAGATTTGTTCTTCTGAGAAGAAACTAAATGCATGCATGTAGAACATGGAATGTCATCACTGGAAATTTCAGAGTGGCCTCCATTAAATGCACTACTAAATGAACAACACAGAAGCAGGATTTAATTGTGTGTGTTTCAGACAGCACTCTGATTAGCTGATGGCTCAACCTAATAGAAACTCCAAGAAATAAAAAAATCAACAATTTTGTTTGACAGACATATTGTAAAATACCTGGCTAATGGAAAAGTTCAAGAAAAAATACTGAATTGGACCAAACCCAGTTTTATTCATTCAAACCCAAAATGTTTTATTTCATATTAGAGTCTTTAGTATGTTTCTGAAAACAAAGCAGAAGTAAATGCTGAAATAATTTTTTAAATTAAAATATTCATTCTGAAGTGTAAAAGTGAAATATTCTGCCTTTTTCAGAACTCTTCCTTCATCTGAACTAAGTTCTTTCAGCAAAATGGAGGAAATCTCCTTCTACCCAAATCTGCATTACCAAAATATTTTTAACTTTTTCTAGTCTGTAGTCAGTTATATTTATATTTATTAGAAATATAGCAAATAAATTTACTTAATCTGTAAATTTGAGTAATTGCACCAAAAATATATATGCGCACATAGTTTAGTTTCCTTTCCTTTACTTCAATTTTATGTCAATAGTTCTTCTCCTGACTGACCCTATTTTAAATAAGAAAAGAACTGGGATATCAAAGTTTGTACCTGTACCTTAACATCTGGCCATATATATGCTAATGTAACTTCTTCTTCAAGGAATGATGTAGTAAGCGAGACAATCCATCACTGGGTCTTGTTTTACATGAAGTAACTATTTTTTGCTTTATTTTTCACTACATTGTCCTTGCATAATAAATATCTTTTCTCATTAAAAAATATATCAAGCTGAAGCATTTATGGCCATAAACAATTTTGGTCATTGTCCCTGTTTTTTTATCATTTCCTCTGGACTGCCTAAGAGATATGAGAGAGGCAAAAAATGCCAGTATATCTGCCTGCTGGGAATAGCCATAGAAGGAGGAATCTCTGCAAGCATCACATGTACATGTTCTTCCATGTCTCTTTCTTAAAATATGTGGCAGAAGGGCAAGATGGATTAAGGAAGAAGGTTACATACAGAAAGGGAATAGCCAGACTGGCATCCTCCAGCTATCTTCTTTTGATCATTCTCTAAAGGTCATTTCCAGTTTGCTCAAGTTAACACAGCCTGCACATTAAGCTGTGATAAAACCGCAGTAAAAAACAGTACCAGCTCCTGATCATCTTTCATCAACATCTTGCACTGTGTGACACTGCCAAAGAGCTTTATAGACTTTCCTCGGGGTTGATGTAGCTTGGTTTGTAATATCAATCATTAAAGGAATTTGTATTTGCGTAAAGTGTCATCTGTTTTCCTCCTTCCCCTTTTCAGAGCTGATTTTGATGATTCTGCTACCTATTCAGCAGTTGCAACAAATGTCCATGGGCAGGCATCAACTAATTGTGCTGTGATTGTGCGAAGTAAGTCCTACTTCATGATTAAAACAAGAAATAAATATCACGCTCATGTCATTGAGTGTTTATTGTATATTTGTTTATAGGGTTCAGAGGGGATGAAGAGCCTCACCCAGCTGGGATAATGCCCTTCCACTGTAAGCATTTTTTTCTTTTTGCTTAGATAGTTTATGTACTCTTATTATAAGAGTAATGTTTTACAGATGAGAAAATTTGATACAACTTGCTTCTTCTGGCTTTGCTTTCTAAGCATGCAGTTACAATAGGAGCTGTCCAGATGTTTTTGCTTTCCCAATTGCATTTCTAGATCAGCATACAGTATTATAGAGAGCTCCATCTCCTGTTCAGATCAGACAATAATCTGTTTGTGCCAAGTACAATTTACTTATACTCAAGAATGTTTTCATTTTCTCATGCATAGTGCCTCTGTCGTATGATGTTTGTTTCACCCACATTGATGTCCAGTTTCTGGAGAAGTTTGGAGTCACCTTTGGAACTGAAGGTGAAACACTGACCCTGAAGTGTTCTATGTTGATCACCCCAGACCTGAAAAGACTACGACCTCGTGCTGAGTGGTATAGAGATGGTAAGTTAGTACATTGAATAGAAGCTACCTGGAGAATGCTGGAGGAAACACCAAGGACACAGATCAGGATTAGAACATGAGATTCTCAGAATCAAATTTGGAACAGAGAAAACAAATATCTTTAGTTCGATTTTATAGACCTGCACTGTCTTTCCATTAAGTGACTTGGTCAACCTTTTCTTGAGCACACGTATACAGCAACAGGAGGTAATCTCATATTATCTAATAACACAATAGTTAGAACATTTACTGACTAGGTGGAGATCCAAACTCACAACCTAGATTTGGCCATGATTTATAACTGAATGCTGTGACCACTGAGCTGAAGGGTAGTCACAAAGCAGTAAATTAAAGTTTGAAACACCAAGGTGTGGGCATGGGCCTCCACTTCCATTTTGCTCCAGTATGTATTGTGAATTTTATATTAAAATCAATATAATGTATAGTTCAGAAATACACGAGCCAGGCCTGAAACACATGCCTTTAAGGGCCATGTTGGTAGGTTGCTTTCCTGTCTTTTTTCAGTGAAAAACTATGCTATGCCAAGTGAAGTGGTCTTACCTGGAAGTACTGAAAAAAAGGTCATTGAGGCATATAATGTACTCTGGTGGCTGGTACACAAACCCTGCATGAGTAGTGTTTGTTCACCACACCAAAAAATGGTCTTGAAATATAAAACTAACTACTTAAAGTTTAATGGATATCAGACTATTGTAGATATTTAGCTCACCACTTTTCACCAACCACAATATCTGTGCAGGATTCTGAAGTAAATATTCTGCCTGAGGATTTAAGGAAAGCCTTAGTTATTTGTGAATGGTGAGACCTTTTCCCAGAGGGACCACATTTGAGAATGGTGGACTCCCAAGACTGATGTTTGCACTGATCCCAGGCAAGCTGGCAGAAATTTCCATAGCTGACAAAATGTGGTGCATAAACTAAGGAGTGACAGTAAGATCAATAAGGCAGTCAAGAAAATTCAGGATTAGGAAAATCAGAAAAAGGATGCTTTTATTGCTGCTAGTTTTGCCTTTTGTTTCATGTACATCTTAGTTTTAAAAAGATTTGCATCTGATCCTTCAGGGAACAGACCGCTACTTACTGTTTAATTCCTATTTGTCACTGTGCATACTTCATTGTGATGGAAATGTTAGATGTTACTAAAACAAAAAATATGAAATAGTAAAAATGGCTTTTTTGTTTGGTGAATAACCTAAAATCTAAGGCTCATCCTTGAACGCAGATTCTATACGCTGAAGTGTACAAGGATTTGTAATCACTATAAGTAATTGCTCACCTCACTCTGAGGTGAGCCATCAGTTTCAATGGTACCTTTACTTTGTCTCCTACTGGGCCCAGTTCTTCAAGGTGCTAAACCTCTGAAATTTTGGGTTTGGAACTTCAGCTATGATGAACTGCTAATTTTCAAGGGATGCCCCATATTGTTCCATTCTTCATCCAACATGAATTGTCCTTGCACTATGGATAGGTGAACAAAAGCTTATGGGCCTTTCAGTTTAACCCTTCATGATTCCAAGATAATTCCCTCTTGATATGTAACAATATTATGCTCTTTGTTTCCCCCCTTATTTGACTTAAGTTTACATTCCCTGTGAAAACCTGAGATGAAAACTTGGTCTTTTTGAAGCCAAAGTTTGGTTTTTGCTAGTGAGTCAGAGAGGCATTCATCCCATTGTTCTACTTATGTTACAGGAGATAAGATGATATAAACAAGCTTAGAGTTTTCCTTCATTGCACATACATGGATCACAATATTTCCAAGAGGTGTACAGAACATGTTCCTAAACATAGCAGGAATTCATGCACTATGAACCTTTGCTATGAGCTACAGTGCTCTGTGTTGAGTGGGAGGCAATGCATAAATATAGACAATGAGAAGGTTAATAATTTGTTTAACATCATGCTTTAGATGTTCTGGGTTTTTTTGAGACGTAATACTTAATTCTACTCTTGCATTAAGACAAACTATATTTTTCCTAAAATTTTTCAGTTTGTGTTAATCAAATAGTAACAACTAAAGCCCTGAGATGGATATGTATGATTTACTTCTAATAATTATACACAAGAGGAACATGTGTTTATCCAGCATTAATAAGCTTCAAGCAAGTGAACCTTATTGAGGATGTCTACTAGACTCCTAGGGGCATATAAGTCAACTGAACCAAATCCTCTAAAGTGGTTTGGGATTTGACAAACATGAATATGATGTCTCTAATTCGTGGCCCACTTAGAACAATTTAAGATACTGAAAGAAGTAAATCAAAATAGTACTTCAGGAATGTTTATCTCATCTGGATGTGAGTTCAGCTGGTAACAGGAGCTTTCTGTTATCGGTCTCTAACGTAATATAAACATTATAAAGCTACATGCACCAGCATTCTGCAGCCATTTATACTGTAATCTAGAATAAAATAATTGAATTCAGAGGTAAAAATCATGGAGTGCAGAATTTAGCTAAAACTTCAGCAGACTAAAATACGTGATGAAAAGAAGCTTCAGTATATACTCATTCCCCACTCTTTATATGAATTTTCAGCAGAGTAACATTTTAGGAAAATTATCTCATGTGCTGAAAACAGCATGTGAGGATCGGGTCACACTGCTTCCAAGGGTTAGTCTCCTGCAGGTTCGTTCTTTGGTAAATTGTGGGAGAAGTGACAGAGCACAACACATGAATAGACTGGGAATTTGAATGCAGTAGTAGACACTGTAATCGTAACATTATTGTGAGTCATCCATCCAGACTGCATTAAAACAGAGAGCTCCTGCTTTCTTAGGACATCTAGTGGGTCTTTGTCCTTGTGTGAAGAAGTTTTTATGCTCTTACCAAACATGACTGCCTCTGAAGTTTCTGGTCTCAGGTACACATAAAGGGTGGAAATGGATGATTCTGGCCCTAATAGACAATACAGGCTTGCCTACAGTTTCTATATATTCAAACTATAGTGTCTACCATTCCACTCAAGCTTGGAGTCTAAATAAGTGACCTGCTTTTCAGAGGTGCTGGTCACTCAACTTTGTTTTTTCTTCAGAATTTTCCACAGAACTCATGCAGTGGTTAAAGTTTCTAGGTGAAGGCATTTTCTGATTTCATTTAAAGTACTTCATATCTCTCTACACAAAGTCTCAGTACCATTGTGACATGCATGACAGAAAGGGGAGATGCAGATTTTCTAGGTAAGGATCTCATGAGTAAGGATCTCATGGGAAGGAATGTGACTGAACTTACTTTGTATGCTTCTCAGAAAACAGCTGTATGCTTAGGTGATTATGCAATTTACTGCTGTAAGTTTTAGTACTGTGTATCTTCCAGATGCTTTATTACCTGAATGTGTGTCATTTTTAATGCCTTCTTATGCAATTCAGCTGGTAGGTGGGAAAACTGATTCCTTTACAATTGTTTGAGTGTCTGCTCCAAAGTGTATTTAAGCAATAGAATAGTAAACATTTATAGATATTCAGCTCCTTTAAATACAGTTCTGCTGCATTGATTACAATAAATTAGTATGAAATAGGTCTTAGGGAGTTAAAAAATAAAAATAATCCAATCAATTATTAAAAAGGGTGATATGAGAAAGTCCCTTAGCTAGCATAAAATATCCTGCTCATTCTCTTGCTCTGATTTCACTAGGCAATCAGATTAATTTGCATTAATCATGGGTCACCACCTCTCACCTGTGAGAGATTTAAATTTAATTTTATTCACTGCTCAACAGGCATGCCTTGAAGATTTAAATTTAGTGTATATTTATATCAGTCTTCAGATTAAACTGAAATCTGGTCTTTAAACTTGGAGAAAGAAATTGAGTAATCTGATGATTGACCTGAACAGGTAGCAAAACTTATTAAAAATGAAACAAAATTCCACCCTGCATTCATTACAGGGTATGGTAGGTTTTCATGCCATTGTTTCTAAATGTGGATAATATTTTTCTCTGTCAATGTATTAAAAATTGTACTGATGGAAATTCTGTTGTTGGCACTGCATAGGATAGTCTGAGACCTCATATTCTCTAAAATTCACTGATGAAATAAGTTTAGAGACATGCAGCTTACTCTCTCTAGAGTTTTCATAGCATCAACGCACCATCACTCTGAATAAAGCTGGCATAAAGGTTAGTTGATTAGCACAGAGCTGCACTAGGACGTAGGTTGTTCCAGCCAGCATAGTAACATGTCTGATGGGTGTTCTTTTCCAGATGTGCTGATAAAGGACTCCAAGTGGACAAAGCTGTATTTTGGAGAAGGCCAGGCATGTCTGTCCTTTACCCATCTGAACAAAGATGATGAAGGTTTATACACCCTGCGCATGGTTACAAAAGGTGGAGTGAGCGAATACAGTGCATACCTGTTTGTCAGAGGTAAACTTTTCATCTATTTCTTGGTGAGAAATTAAAAAGAACAGTAGAAAGATTCGTTTTATTAAATAATCCCATGTATTGACTGAAGTACAAAAGAAATCCAGCCTTGTGGTATTTCATAGTAATTCAATTTATATAGTAGCCTGTGCTAGAAAAAACAGTCACCTTAGATGAATGGGGAGCTTCAGGAGGAGAATGCTTCTGAGGATGTTTTCTTCCCTGTAGAACAAGAGAAATCATTCTTGTGAAGAAACAGCTTGTTTCTTTCTCTGCCACCTCCTTTCCCAGTAGGAAATAAACATCTTTGCATACTACCAGTCCTCACGTGATGGTTTCAGCTCTAGAGGTTGCCAACGTGAATGAGCCTTGTTGGGCATTCTCATATCCTGTGCCTGACCTTAGGAGGAAGCACAGAAGAAAGCAAAAGAAATATTCCCACCAGTCAGTCATCTCAATAATCAGAGAAAAGAAACAAAGAATTTAGCTCACTGAAGAGACACAGTTTTCACAAGGGATATAGATAAAAGGAGGTAAATGCATCAAAATAGAATAAAGGTCAGAGTTTACCCTCACATTTGCATGCACAACTCTCAGTGAAGTGAGAATGAGCATCCACACGCACGTATGAGCAGAACTGAGTTTTCACTTTTTTTTTTTTTTCATTGAAAGATGAAAATATCTCTGGCTGAGCAGTTCTTTCACTCTCTGTAGAGAGTGAAATACATTAAATCCTTGATGGTAGCAAACTGGAGCAGCCCCACTGAAGCTATTGGAGTTGTATTAATTTTAAACCTTGCACTTCTTGGAAATGTATTGGAACATGCGTGTCTTGCTGAAGTGTTGTCCAGACAGTTTGTGTAGGATGGAGGGACATGAATGTTTTTTTAGGGGGTTGAGATCCATCTTCCTCACAGGACTAGTGCAAGGGCTTCATGAGCTTTGCAGTATGTCCTGAACAAGCCACTCTGCCACCCTGATCTCATTGGAAACAATTTGCTAAAGCTTTCTATTTCCCATTTACCTTCTAAGAAAGAAAGTACCCAGGTGAAAAAGGCCCACTAATGTATAATAACCTTCCTAGAAGTTTTTGTTGTAGTGGTGGGTCAATTTTAGGCACCTCTGTTGTCCGTTTTATGCTATGTCTGATCCATTTGCATGCACAGGACCCTGGACTTGAGCTATGTCCTCTGGAGTCTCTAGTGTCCTCTGTTGGCCTTCCTCTTGCCTTTTTTCATGCAGGCTGTGATCTGATACTGAGCAATAGCCACCTCACAACTGATTGCAATTACACTCTATAAATTTAGACTCTATACAGGATGGTTTTGTGTTATAGAAACCTTTCTTTGAAGGGAGAGAACTTTACCTGTTAGGAGACTTCTTTAGGAGTTGTGAGTCCACGTCAGTCAACACCTCTCAAAATGAAGCCACAGAAGGGTATCTTAATGGTAGAACATTGATTACTTATGCCTGTTGGTATTGTAAGACTTTAAATAAAAAGTAGCCTTAGAAATGTACCAGGAGTTTACAAATTTTTTATTCCATAAAAGATTTATCTTCTTCAGCTACATGTTCTTTACTCAGTACTTTGGTCTGATCAGTAACCCACTAAGCTACAGCTTTCAGTGGGAAAGAGCATAAAAAACCCCATTGGGTATTTGGGCTTTTAATTCTCATGAAAAGTAGTGTGTGTTTGATGCTTAAAGTGCTTTCCTGCTCTCAAAAATATCCCTGAACTTTTTTATCTGTGTGGAGATATAGACATTATGGGCCTGATTCATTAGTGCATTGAATTAGCGTGTAATGAAGTCTTTGGGCTCCCATTCATATAAACGAATAGCACAGCAAACTGGAAATCTTCCCTTTTGTGTTTGTGGTAGATTTCAGAGGAGTCAGGATCAAAACTGATTTATTTTTGTTTGTGGTCCAGATGCTGATGCATTGATCGCGGGAGCACCAGGGGCGCCGATGGATGTTAAATGCCATGATGCTAACAGAGACTATGTTATTGTTACCTGGAAACCACCAAACACAACCAGTGAGAGTCCAGTCATTGGCTATTTTGTCGACAAGTATGTAACCATTGGGATTTATTTAATTTTGTTCATTGCCAAAAACATGTATATAGTGAAGGAAAAAAAAAAAAAAAAAACATTATATCCTTCAATATGTGGGTTCTTTAGATATATTTTTACAGACCCTAGGCACTGGAACTCATTTGCCTACTGTGCTAAATTACTAGGTTGTTCCCTGGCAAACTTTTAGTCCAGATGATCTAGTACCTTCCCAGGAAATCTGGGCACAGTCTGGGAGTTAGCAAGGGCTGGGGGCCATTCACAGCAACCATTTGCAGGCAGCCACACTTTATCAGACACTAAAAATGTTCAATAGTATGGATGTGGCCAAATCAGAGAATGAGCCCTGGCAATATTTAATTTGTAGAAGCAAGAATCCATGGGCATCTTTGAATTAGATTTAGTCTCTTGCAGTATACTGCAAAAGCTGAAGTCTAAGAATTACTACATTATCTTTTTATTTCTGCATTAACTGTGGTACACCAGGAGCTCAAGGCATGGGGTCCCAGGAGCTGGTAGTTTAAATCAGACTGGCAGTCCTCTCTCCTCCAGTCTGCTTTGCACTTTGCTGAGGTTTCAGCTCAGTGTGGGCAGTCTAGAATCAGGGGATCCAAGTGCTATTTTGCATGTCTGTTCTGGTGAAGTGCATGCTTGCCCCTTGTAGCCAGAGCAGAACATCTGATCCTTAGTGTCTGAAACTGTCAGTCAGCAAAAACATTACTGAAATGAATTCATAATGTATACTGCTCTACACTTAAAAGCCACATTTGCAGCTCCTTGCTATTTACTACCCTGTTATTTGGTCTAGTTGAGAGACAACTGTCTGGGAATTGCTGGAAAATGTTGGCTTATGAATGGCAGTCAGTATGAGGAAATTAACTTAAGCCCTGGGGACTCTATCACTTATACCCAGTTTGTGCAGTGCATAGATCGTGGGAATATTTCACCTGTTTTGTGCATAATCTAGTCAGATGTGTCTTTTGACATTTTGCTTGGATTACTGCAGCACCAAGGAGCCCTTGATCATGACCCTATTTTTTCTGGTACTGTCAGGGCAAAAGGCAGTCTTCTCCACAAAAGTTTGTAGTAGTAGGACCCAAACAGATGTGTACACACGAAGGAGCCAGTGTGAGGACATCACTCCGCTTCTTGATGACTCCTACACTCTGTGGCCCAACCATTGCTGGAGGGAAAAGCACAAAGACGCTTGCTTAAAAATATGACAAGAAAGAGATGGAAGGAATTAGGTGAATGTTGCAATTTCAGCATGTTCTGTGGAGATACATGTTAAAAATAAAAGTGAATAACTTGTTCTTTAGACAACAAAGAAGAGAACCAAATGGAAGGGAAGCAGAGAGAATTGAAAAGGCCAAAAACCATGCAAGAAAAATGACCTTTGCAATTGCATTATGAATAAATATGAGCAAGGTGGGAATTGGTTGTCTGATCAGAGGAAAGAGCGTTTAAAGTGTGTGACTTTCATTAATGAGGTGTACGGTTTAGTTCCTCAACTTAGTGAGGATGACTTCTGTGATTCTGACTTGATGTGTGTAGGATGGTGTATATTTATTGTGGGACGATACTGATAAATGCTGTCTTCTGTTACTCCAAGATGTGAAGTAGGTTTGGAAAACTGGGTCCAGTGCAATGATGCTCCTGTAAAAATCTGCAAGTATCCTGTGACTGGTCTTTACGAGGGACGGTCTTACATATTCCGTGTGAGAGCAGTGAACAGTGCTGGTATTAGCAGGCCTTCTCGAGTCTCTGAACCTGTTGCAGCTCTTGACCCTGTTGACCTGGAAAGAACACAAAGTAGGTTATGTAAAGCTGAAACAGATGTTGAATATTCAATCTTATTTTTTTTTCAGATTCTCCTTTCTTAGTTAACCTAAAGAGCAGAGTTTATTTCTTCCTTTGATGTAATATCTCACTAATTTCAAGGTGGGGGATGTAGCTGGAATGGCAAGGTCCATACAGACAATTTGGTAGGACCTGGGTACTCCATCTCCATTATGGCTGTTTTTGCTTAGCTTTAAACATAGACACTCATTATCACAAGGAGCAATGTTTTCAAAAGAGCTAATACGCCCTGGAAGCTTGTATTATTTGCTCTGGGAGATGGGTCCTCAGATTCCATAAAATTCTACGTTTGCTGGTAGTTTTGAAAAAGCTATGTCTGTTTTAGTTAAAGAAAAAGTAAAAATTGTCATATGAATTCACTGGCCCACAGACTGTTGTATTTTTCCACGTTTTTTTTTCTCACCAGTACTGGCACAAAGCCCCCATGCTACAGGCTGAGGGAGTCTCTGATATTGTGACTTTTCTGGCAGATGGAAAAAGGCAATCTAACGAACAAGCGCTTTCTGAAAGCTGGTCTTGTGCTCAAGGCCACTGCAGACTGCAAAGGAGCCTTATGAGAGCTCCTCCATGAATAGAGTAAGCTGGCTTGCTCTTGGGAGTAGTTTTATTGATTTAGCCATGTCCTAAACCCCTGTGCAGATTCCGTATATCATGTTCTTGCATACCTTCTGTTTTGTGTGCTCCTTTTACTCAGAGGGGAATGAAAGTCATTAAGAATGCAGAGCACTGCCCCAATGTTGCTTGTAAAGTTTAAGTTGAATATGCTGTGTTTCCATTTAGCTTTATGATTAATTCCTATAACAAATGTCCAATTCATGATACAATTGTTTACTAATCTGCCACAGAATTGAGTCAATCTACTGTGAGTATGATTCTTGCTTTTTAGCAATGTCTTACCATGCTCTGTTTTCCTATGAAAGTGAATGAAGCAGTGTATGACTTTCAGTGGACTCCATCTGTGGAAGGCTTTAATAACAGAGTTATAGAAATAGAGGTATACAGGTTTTTGAACAGCTGATGAATAATATTTTGCAAAATTTGTAAATATATTAAGCTGGTTCAAGAAATTAATTGAATTAATTTGATTAACAGCTATTCATGTGGATGAAGGGCGAAAGATTACCATCAGGAAGGATGACCTTGAAGGTATGTAGCGTTTCTATGATTTCAGTCCATCTGTTTATATCCCAGGAATTTAGCATTGTAATTAGAAACATAGCTTGAACAGAAATCCACCTAGTGAGTAAACTCTTTATAATAATAAGACAGACGGATTTTCTGGCTTGCAAGGCTGAGAGAACAGAAGTGAAAGGTGACGTCTAAAAGGACAGAGAACATCACACCCTTTCATGAGCACTGCTTTCATTATGTGCTGACAGCACCTCCTCACTTTTTTGTTTTGGCTAGTGCTAAGCTGAGTTTAAACAGCTGAACATTGCATTTGATCACCCACATTTCTTTTCCTTCTATCCTTCTGGGAGCTAAATATAGCTTTTCAGACTGAATTTGATGATCTGAGCAAGTTATTTCCATTTTCATAAAAACTTATGCAATCCATCCCAATTCTTTAATTAATATATATCTGAATAGAGAGGTTGTTCTTAAGGTTAAGGTTAAACACTAAACTTTGTTTTTCCTCAAGACAATTGGAGAGATCATTGCCAGCTTTTGAGATAAAGCTTGAGTTTCTTCTGTCTTTGGTTGATTCTATATGTAGTGATTTTTGGGGTGCTTGGATAATGATCTTCATTTCACTTAAAATGCCAAAAATGTTAACTATAATGACTAAGTTGTAAAAAACCCCTCTGCCTACTCTCTTTCAAAAAGGTTATAAAGCTGTTAACTCCAATAATAACATAGTAAAAGGAAAACCAGCTGAGAACAAGCGTAGTTTGAAGAAGAATCAGACATTAAATGTTTTCTCCAGTGCACAAGTGGGACAGATGAAGTTTCTGTATTTTTACAATGGTACCATAAATGAATTGATATGGATATTATAGGATCAAAATCACATTATAGGATCAGAATATTTTTATCTTACTTGTTTGGCTTCCAAGAACATACTACTGCTCTCAGGATTGCCTGAGAATGATTGGAAATATTAAATGGCCACTCTGGCATAATCACAAGTAATGATATTTAGATTTCTGTTTCATGAAGGTGCATATTTAATAAAGGAGTATGAATATCCAAATGCCAGTGTTTATATAGATTGTTACTGTCATCTGCAAGATTGGAGACCATTTTTGAAAAAGTGATCTCATAGATCAAAAATGGATTTTCCTTTTTAGTGCCAGATGACCTTCCATTCTGAGAGAGCAGACTGTACCATCATGTTATATGATTAGAAATTATGTCAGCTTTGTTTTTTTCAAGGATGTAAGAAAACATGTTAGTTATGTTCAACCAATTGGAAACCTTTTGACATTATGCATTATGCTGTGAAAGATTATCGTAATTTTCTTGACTGTATGTCAGCAATTTTGTCTTAAACGCAGCTGATTCATGTGCCTTTCTTAAAGAAAAAGTGTATTTGTAGGAAATGAAATATAGAAAACACTGAGGAAAAACACTTCTTTGGATGTGTCAGTTTGCTTTTAAAAAAGTCTGTTTTTGATTGGGAAACGTGTGATGAAATAACTTCAATGTACAGTTTGAGCCTGGTTGGTTCTACAGATGCTTATAAACTGTTAAAACATCACTTCCATGATTTAGAGATTATTATTGAAACATTTTTCTCACTTTTAATGTCAAATCCTGAGCATATAGAGGATATATGCTCCTTGCTAGCCTGAGAAGTGGCAAAACATACCTTAAAAGAATGAAACTTTTTGCTTTCTCTATTGCAAGCCATAAAAATAAAGTATTTGTAGGTATCTGCTGAGTTGCTATTTATGACCTATTACCAAGAGGAGGTTTCTTCAGGGCTGTGTAGCTATGCCAGAAGCTGTCTGTCATAGGTCCAAGCCTCTCCTATCTAGTGCTCTTTTACACCATTGTAATCCCTTGGATAGCGAAACTGGTTTCTTATGCTGTGGTGGGTGAGCATGACCACAAAGGCCCACACTGATTCCCTCCAGCCTGGCCCAGGGTACGCACGCCCTGCCTCACATTCCTGGTAAGGGTGAGTGGGGAGCGGTTTGCTCAGGCCACACCAACTGGTTGAGTCAGCAGCGGGCTGGTGACATATTGTTATGCCTCCGATCCATGGTTTTTAGAAAGTTTTAGACTATACAGCTGGTAATACCATCACATTGTAGGATCCATTGCTAATACGTTCTTCTTCCTTTTCTGTTTTCTGCTTTGTTTTAAGCTGCTTTTCTCCTTACTGTACTTCCTTTCCAGATACCTTCTTCTAGTCTAATTTCTTGTAATAACTCTTTGGACTGCTGTCTTTGATCAAAAAAAAAATCTCTTACTTGCATATAGTGAGTAGGTTTTTTCCACGGCATTCTGCCCAGCAGGCAGAAGTAATTCAAATTTGATCAAAGAAAAGAAGTGTGACAAATGCATAGGTTTTCAGGGGGCATATTGAGTTATTGAAAAAGTAAATAGCTTAACTTTTAATACTGATGTTTAATTTCTCAAAATTTAATTGAAATGAGGAAATGAACTGCACAGATGATATCATAGCTCCTAATAGCTGAGCATTGCACTACAGGGTGGGAGTTCAGAAAGATGAGCTGTAGCATGAGTGCTGACCCAGAGGTTAATCTAATGTTTAACACTCCCTACATTTATTACTCTTCCAGGCGATATTCAGATTCCAGGCCCTCCCACCAATGTACATGCTTCAGAAATCAGTAAAACATATGTTGTACTCAGCTGGGATCCACCTGTTCCCCGTGGCAGGGAGCCACTGACGTATTTCATTGAGAAGGTACTGTACTGTACAGTGGCATTCAGCTGTAAGGTGTCTCATTGCTGTGTGCAATTACATTTAACTCATTTTTAGAACTACAGAATGAACAATAAAACTAACACTTTCTGAGGTCTCGCAGGATGAGGTAATGGGATATTAGAGAAGCATGGACAGTCAAATGTCTTATTACATGACTTAATGAGCATTGAAATTCAAGGTCTGGGGAGAAGGATGCCCCTGTGCTATTTGCTTACTGCTGTCTAAAATGAGAACACACTACATGTGTAAGGTACTGGTTTAATGGAAAAGAAACATCTTAAGATTTTGCAATCTTACAGGCAAGACTGGAAGTTTGCAGCCTGCCTATATTATAGGGAATAGAATCATAGAATCATAGAATCATTTAGGTTGGAAAAGACCTTTAAGATCATCCAGTCCAACCATTAACCTACACTACCAAGTCCACTCTAAACCAATCAAGGGTAGACTAGACTAAACCATGTCCCCAAGTGCCACATCTACCCATTTTTTGAACACCTCCAGGGATGGTGACTCCACCACCTCTCTGGGCAGCCTGTTCCAATTCTTGACCACCCTTTCCGTAAAGAAATTTTTCCTAATTTCCAACCTAAACCTCCCCTGGCGCAGCTTGAGCCCAGGGAAGTTTCTGGTAGTCCTGTGGTAGAGCAAGGAATAAACAGTGACTCATAATTTGATCTTCACTTTCTTTTTTGCAGGCTTACGGCACCCTCTGCTATACCCTGACATTTCCAATTTATTCCCTGTAAGGTCAGTGGAGAGGCAGATGCCTATCTCAGGTTCACTGTTCCCTGGTAGTCTTCATGGCTGCCTTCCTCTTTCCTTTGACTTGACAGGGGACTTCAGTGATCACTGTAGGTGAGGTTTGTTCTTCCCCCATCTAAGCTACTAAGATTTAGATACACCTGTCCCCAAGCCAGGTTTCTAAATTAAGTATGTTGGATTACAGCCAGAGGTCATGATCTTTCCTCCTTGCTACAAAGTTTCCCCAGTAGGTAAACTGGGCCTCATACCTGACCTCTCAAACACTTACATGCCAAGCTATACTTAGTTTTTATGAATTATGCCTCTACCATATGCCCCCTCTTAACAATCCACAAACACTAAAACTGTCCATAAAACTGCCACACATTCAATTTGCATCTTGAATATTGTGACAGCCTTTTTTCAGGCCCTTACCATGCAATTTTTTTTTTTCTCACATCTGTTCAGCACATTCCTCCAAAGCTCATTTCCCAGCCAATCATTCTGTTCACATCACTCCTCTTTTTGCAGTCCCCCTCTTGTCTTTTCCTTCTCAGTCACATCAAAATCTCCACTTCAAAAGACCTTTATAGCCCATCGTTACATTGTTCATCCTCCGTTACCTGCTGGATGTTGAACCAATAGGTGTAACGTGAAGTCCACTCACTAGTTAAATTTTCCAGCAAGCTTGTCCATGATTTTTCCTGCTCTGCCTTCACATTCAAAAGAAGAAATGAAACTTTCCATAGAAATAAGTATCTAGTTTTCTTTCTATGCAATAAAATAGTATGTCTTCCTTGTACTTATTCCCAGTTTCATACATCTGCTCTTACCAATAAATTCCAAGCATACTGACTTAAGGATTTTGAACCATCTCTTGGCATGAAAATACCTCGTTGTTTCCAGAATATGCAGAAATAGCCCAGATAAAAAGCTCAGATGTAGATTTCCATTGAGTGGACACCTACACTTGGTTAGTTGGATTTCTTTCTAAGTATGAATTGGAAAATATATGTACCTGCTTGTTTTACAGAAATAGCTTTATATAGCTCCAGAAACAGTATAAAGCAATGACAATGATGAGCAAACAAGTCTTAATTAAATGCCAAACTTACTGAAGGAAAGTGAGAATGAGGACTAAAAGGCTATTATTAGAAAAAAAGGTTCATGATACTAATTAATACCTGAATCTAAAATCTTTTTGCATATAAATAACTTATATATATGAATAGCTCAATCAGTTCATAGGTGAATGTTTGGTTTTTGTTTTCCACAGTCATCTGTTAATTTAGAAAAGCACATTTTCTAATTAATTTATTTCAAATAAAGAAGACAGTCCTGAAAAATAAAAATGAATTTTTAAAAGCTTCAGGAAACACAAAATGGAAACGAGTCCTCTATGCTGTATAGCAATGTTCCCTTAAAATCGTTATTTAACAGATAAATCAAACCAAACTACAGAATAAAATGTGAAGTTGATTCTTTCCTCTGTGAAAATGAAATGCAAAAATTAATGTTTTTCATTCGAGAAAGTAAAATATATGGCAAAATAATTTTTATTTCATATTTTCCATCTTTTTATTATGAAGAAAAAGGATGTTGTATTTCTTTTTCTGTTGAGAACACTAGGTGGGTTCAGTATCTATGAAAAAGATTTTGATATACGGGCTCCAGCTGTTTACATTTTTATTATTTATCTATAGCAGGCCTCATTATATACAGGGTAGTTTCCAAGCACCCATGAAACACTGTTGCTCCTCTAAGTTCACAGTCTATCTGATTTTGTCTCCAGACTCTCTGTTTCAAAGTTTTATAAACATTTTATTTGTATGCACCTTTCTGTGCTTGAAGGAAATTTTATTTAAGCTATTTACTGGGCACTTGGGTTTTACTAAAATTGCTGAAAGATTCCATGACTAATTTTTGTTTTGGGTCAAGAGTTTATCTGGGGAACCTAATGGACAGAAGACTTCTCTCAGAGTGCTGGTTTGCTGGCTCTCTTCCATGTGCAGTTGTGGTGATGATTAGTTCAGCAGCTGCACTGAGAATATTCAAAAGTAATTATTTCATTTGATGAATGTTTTTAGGGACATGACCTTACTCAACAGAAAACATAAAGATAAAGCGGTGAGTAAAGTAACATACCCTTCCTTAGCTTTCTGCAGAATTTGGATTAGGACTTGCTTGCTTTATATTGAACCTTTGGGTGTTCAAGTGAGTTTTGCAGGACATGAGAGTAATTCTTTTGGGGCCAATCACAGCTGACGGTCATGGCCCTAGCTGAAGGCTAGCTGTATGTACAAGAGTGCATATATTGAAGTCTAGACAGGCAAGGAGACAGTGAGGTATTCAGGCCTTTTTGTAGAGTAATGGAATGCATGAGCTATGAGAATTTGCATATGTTAAAGTGAGGCATTTGAGAGTGATCCTTCTCTTATAGCTCTTAAATAAATTCATGACAGGATGCAATACAGCAATAAGTTCATTTTTTGACAGTTCACAGAAGTGATTCACAGCTTTTTTTTTCTTTTTTTTTTTTTTTTGTAGTCCATGGTTGGCAGTGGAAGCTGGCAAAGAGTCAATGCACAGGTTGCAGTAAAATCTCCTCGCTATGCAGTGTTTGACCTTGCAGAAGGAAAATCATACGTTTTCCGAGTCTTGTCAGCAAACAAGCATGGCATCAGTGATCCATCTGAAATCACAAAACCTATTCAACCACAAGATACCATTGGTAAGACATTAATTGTAAGGCATTAATGTTAAATACAATTGATACTTTACAAAATTGAAATAGACAACTCTCATTATAATTAGATTAGTATAATTACAATAATAGTAATCGAATCAATTTGTATTCAATACTGTGAAGGATTTCAAAAAGACCAAGATGCCGAATTTTAGAAACATTCCAAAATTTTCCTAATGATCACAAGTCTCCTTGCTGAGTGCAATAATTATTAAAAAGTTAAATTAATTTTAGTTATTCATTCTTCAGGATGCTCTATTAATGTGACTTGTCAAAAAATAGGGTAATACAGGTTAATTGCTAACTTAGATAATTATATTGTCTGGCTGAGGTAATTATATACTACCTAATTCCCTACAGTTTCAGCTGGATAAGGTAGCCTTTTGTTTCTTTCTTAGTATTCTAAGTTGCAAATTACTGCTGGTGCAAAATTCCTGTGGCATGCAGATGAGTAGATTTTAGGGATAGGGGAAGAGACATCTACATATTCAGTGGTAAGTTTCCAAATGAAAATGAGGCGTTTATCTTGGGGCCACATTCAAAAACAGAAGTGAAAATTTAGGGAGGGGGTTATTCATCTTGTTGTTCAAATTTTTGGTTTGCTCTTGCAGTTTTGCAGAGGCCACATATAACAGCCCCATGTATTGACAGCTGTTACCTTAAGAGCACACGTCTTACTAGTACATGTTCTAGAAATATGAGAAATATTTATAGTATCTGATATAGCATAGTTCACTAAATGCTGATAGATATAGCCTTCTTAATGTTTACCATAATTTAAAAAAATAAAATCCATCACCTTTAGCTTGATCTATAACTATACATGATAAAATAAAAACATCTTTTGCTTTTATGTATACTTGATTTGATTTCTCATTAATGCATATAAATTATTTAAACCATTCAACATTCCCCAAGGTAAGGAAGAAAAATACTATGTTTATTTCACTTAGTACAGAAAATAGGCTATCCCTTAGGGGTTAATGCAAGATGCTCTGAATAAATCATAGCTATAGCGGAAAGCAGAAAGCAGAAGATGCTATTTTAAAGAGGAAGGGCAGGAGTATTTTCAGGGATGGAGTTTACCACCTGAGCTAAAATACATCAGTACCTTTTCAAATGCTTTCAGTTTGCCATTTTGGAGGGGTGTAGGTATTCAGTATCTCCTGAGTCATATCTGGCAGCTCCATGAAGAAGTCTCAGATGCTCTAAAACAGACCTAAATGAATTTGTTTGGGTAACTGAATTAAGCCCTAGTTCTTTGACTATAATGGCAGCTTGTAGACACTTACCCATAAACTCCTAAATGTAGCTACCTTTATCTCAAACTGAACTCATTTGATCTTACAGACTTACTGCATAAAGTACAACAGTGTGCAAGTATTTTTCATTTTGAAATTGAAAGACTAAATGAAAAAAAATGTTGCCTTTCTTTTGTTTCATGCTGCTTGTAGTTCTCCACAATATATCATTCTGAGGAAACTAAAATGCCTTCAATAGGCAAGTGCTGGATGCCTCTCTCAACCTGTCATGAAAGACCGAGACACTGCCTTAGTTCCTTACATTATGAAAGCTCAGAGAGATATTTTATAGTGTACAGACTGTGTGTTGGCCCTTACTAAGATTTCTTTTTCCATTTAGATCTTCACGTTTCTGATTCTATTTATGCACATTCGGGGTGTTTAGGTCAATATAAAACAACAGTGAACTTTCATTACATGTAAAGTGAACTTACTATGCTACATTGGGAGAACTGTAGTCAACAGATTGAAGGAAGCTTTATTCACTTTTGCTTGGTGCTGCTGAGGATGATCCTGGAGTATTAGTTCCAGTTCTGGCTGCATTAGTCTAGAGGGATGGATGTAGAGGAACTGGAGACGTCCACTGAATGGCAATCAAGATGGCCAGGGGCCTAGAAGTTGTGATGTGTGAAGAGAGGTGGAGGTAGCTGGGCTTGTTTAGTTTGTTGACTTACAAAGGTGTTGGTGTCGAACTGTTCTCGGCAATGCCAGATGAGAAAAAAACCCCCAGAGGCAACAGCCACAAATTGTAGCTTAGTAAATTCAGGTTGTTCATTCTTAGTGAAAAAGGTGCAGAGGGCAATGCTGGAAGAGGTTGTGCAGGGAAACTGTGAATCTCTATTGTCAGAAGTTTTCAAGACTTGGACAAACCCGTGTCTGACAACCCAATTTAGTGTTGGTGATAATCCCACGCTCTGTGATAGGCCGGACTAGGTGATGCCCAGAGATCCCTTCCAATCAATGTTCCTGTGCTTCTGTGAAATCCATTTAGCTAAGTCTAGCTAAACACTTAGCATTCAAACATATGCTCAAAATTGTCCTGTAAAGCTGGCCTTTTCTGAATTGGGGTTGTCATTAGTTGACTGGAAGGTAGCATTTCTTAATACTCATGATATCACACCTCTACAGTTTATGTGCATTTCTTACTGATGCAGTAGTGCTACAGGGATATAAGCTATACATAAACCTCTTATGTGAGAGGTTCTTATACCTGTATGCCTTTATCCACACTGATATTTGAAAACATGTTCTCCTATAACTCTCTCCTCGGAAAACCTATGTAAAATCAGACCAGTAGGGAGCCTCATAGCTTAGGTTAAGTTTACTCTAAGTAAACAAATAGAAAAATAAATATATTTATATGCACATATATAGACATATCCAGACTTACAGTGAAACAAATATACTAAAAAATATATCGCACATGGCAATATTAACACGGTAGGAGAAGTCATAGCTGTAGTGATTAAATATGATAAAAGTATGCCGTGTTGCATCTACTGCAGCTTACTTTTATTTGTATGTATTTCATAATAGTATATGTTTTCTCTCTTTTTCTTAGTTGTCCCATCTGCACCTGGTCGGGTAGTGGCCACAAGGAATACAAAAACATCTGTTGTAGTTCAATGGGATAAACCAAAACATGAGGAGGATTTATATGGCTACTACATTGACTATTCTGTGGTGGGATCAAATCACTGGGAACCCAGTAACCATAAACCTATTAAATATAACAGGTATTGACAATAATACTGTATTTTGGGGATGTTTGAATACTGTAGGAAAGTATCAAGCCAATTTATGTGCTGAGCACTGGTGTTATCATGGAAGGTGAATGTTGAATGAATGGGAAGAAAAACAGTCTGCAGACTCTCAGAGCTAAGCTTTTCAGTTTGCAGGGCAGAATTTCTCCACCTCCCTTTTTTTTTTCTCCAAAGAGAAGCATCTTTTGTCTACTCCATGACTTTGAATAATAAAAGCAGGTTCTAGAAGCATTATTCGTGGACATGAGTAAGCATAAAATAAATACCTTTTTTAAAGTCTGAACTATGTTATGGGGTAAACAGGCCTGATACACATGAGGAAAAGTAGGGGAAGGAGAGGGAACTCAAAAACTTTCCAGGGTGTTTCCTTCTGGGGCCCATAGTCCATGGACATCAGGGCAAAAGGGCAGATTGTGTCTGCTATAAACATGGTGGGGAAAGTGCTTCCGCTGCCCACACTGCTGTGTGGGAAATTCGGGTGTCCCACCCCTGAAACATCAAGGCTCCCTGATCTGCTACGTCTGTGGGCAAAGGACAGTAGCCCCTGTTTCTAGTTCCCTTGTCATGACACTAGCCCTGTCTAATTCTGATGCTTTCTTACTCCCTCTGGAAAACATCACACTTCATTATGTGATTCTTCAAGTAATTTCCATTGTGACAATCATACTTACTTTTATTGGAATCACTCACCAAATGCAAAGTTCAGATGTGTAATTTATATTTTCTTATGCATATATAATAAGCACATCATGTTGTTTAGTGCATTTTGTCAGTTATTAATTAATTTTGAGTGACTTTGTATTCTGCTGAATCCTTTGATCAAGTAGTCAAGAATTTGATCAAAGAAAAAGTAGAGATTAATTCTTGCTTAAAGGGATTTGGACAGCACAAAAATAAGAAAAACATTTCATTTGTTCATATGTGAACATATCCTACAATAGAATAGTTCTGACTATTCCATCTGCTGCAATAATTACCTAGAACCTCAGATCAAATCTGAAAGCTATTTTTGATAGAGACTATGAAAATACAGTGAAAAATATAGTCCCTTCCTAGAATAGATTAGAATTTAGCAAGCCAAAGTTCAGAGGGAATATATTACAGTTTATCTGACTCTACCTGATAGATCAGCACTAACAATTTATATGAGTACTGTGACTTTTGTTCCAGTGCCCCATCCAATTATATTGTACTACATCACATCATTGTATTACGGTTTCCGTCTTGGAAATTTCCTTTGTGAGGTATTCATGAGGTTGAGCTTTCTTATTGTTGCCAAGATTTCATGTTACAGCACAGAATGGTTCCGTAAAATATATACTAATATGTGATGCTATTTTTATTTAACCCAGGTTTGTTGTTCATGGTCTGGAAACTGGAGAGCAGTATGTCTTCCGTGTGAAAGCTGTGAATGCTGTAGGATTCAGTGAAAACTCACAGGAGTCAGAGGCTATAACAGTACAGGCAGCCCTTAGTAAGTATGAATCTGTGCAGCTCAGCTTCTTGTTTCTTGAATGAGTTACATATTTTCAGCAATCAACTCCTTTGGTCTCATTTGCTATAATGGTACATTTTGCAGCTATTGAGCACATCCCCTTAGGGAAATTTATGCTCTGGCATGGGGCTGTTCTACAGAGAAAAGTCATTGTTAAAAAAAAAAGTTATTAATAATATCTGATAGAAATATTTGGTCAGATTCACTATAATGGCCAGGCTGCCTTCTGCTCCTCAGTTGTAACAAAGAAACTGTGAATCTTGATTGTTTGACAAGTAGCGTCTGGGTGATTTGGAGTGGTGTAAATCAGTTTAGCGCTAATTTGCTCAGTTTAGAAGATTTTCAGGAAACTTCATTCCTGTGTGGCTGGACCAAACAGAAAATTCCCTTTGGCTCCAGGCTGGAGCACAATCTACCTCCTCTGATACCCTGCAAGCAAAATTTCAGTGTAAGAACAATCCATTGTGCAACCTTCAGTAGGAATGATACATGCTGAGTGGAGCGCTGGATAATTATTTAGAACAAAAAGTACACAGATCTGGGATAGTATAGTCTGGTATTAATTTCTGCACAGTTTCAGTTTCATACTGAAAAATTTAAAATAGAACATCGTTCCCCCACCTAAATGGCCTCCACCTCTTGGAGAAGACGACCAATAGGCATACTTGTCAGAAATAATCCTCTGAATGATTTATAATTCAGAATGGCTATTAGAAGATAAATTTGAATGAGATGGTACTGACAAACTTACTTTGATTTTTTTTAGGACAAAGTGTGTCTCATATGGGTAGGTGGTGCACACTTTCACACCATTCACCCCTATGTTGTAAATGCACTTGCACTTTTTGTTTTGTCACTGTGTGTTTTGAAGATGAGGGTTGCATGAGCTATGTCACCAAACACAGCGCACATGGATCTTACACGCGCCTATGGGTTGTGGATGGCGTTTATCCACTTCGGTAGCCTTAACAGGAATTCATCAGGACTATTTACAGGTGACTTACATTAGCATGGACAGAATCTTTCTGCAGTATTATTTAAGGGCAATTACAGGAGTTTGCTATGGCCGTTCTTATTTACCAAGAAGAAGTAAAAATCACAACGGCCATGTTTTATGTCCTCTAATAGCACATTTGAAAAAAAGAACAAAAGGGCAGTTCTGCTGATCACTATCTGTTTTCATGCTGATCACTAGTACAGCTACAAGATCAGGAACTGTATTAAGGCCCTCTGCTAACATATTCTCTTCTGAATGAGGTAAGTCACATTCTCTCAAGTCATACTGTAATTCAACTGCAGATATCAGATGAGCTTCAGGGGCAGGAGCTTAGACTGCAGCACAACAGGGACAAGAAAGGGGTATCTTTGGGCAAACTTTCATGCACGGATGGTAAATACAAAACAGGTCTTTCTAGAAAGTGTGTTTGCTAGTAGTACGGGTGTAAAAAGCTCAGGAAAACAGTTTTCTTAATCTCTAGGCAGATGCCTTGGTGACATTTTTGCTTCTGCTACAGATGGGAGTAAACTCATGAAGGTAAATTCATGAAGGGAATGTCTTTTCTGTCTCAACATAGGTTAAGCTAGTGGAAGTCTAAATATTTTCTATTCCTTATAGGGTAGAAAGCACTCAGTCTGAAGTAGGCATATAATATGGGGATAAGAGGGGAAAAACATGAAGACCATAGATCAGAGTCATATGACTCCATTTCATTCAAGTTCATAGCCTTTTTTTTTCTTATTGTGAGATTCTTACTGATTCTAAAAGTACTTGAGCAACTTACTTGGTTCTCAGCAGGAAAAGATCTTCTGATCCATTTCAATCTTCTGGCATAACATTTTGTCTGGAGACACTTTTGCTGACAGTACCATTTCCATACCAAAGATCATCTATTCCTTCTTGCTATCTCCTGAGAGGGCAGCACATTAGGTAGATGTTTCAAAAGCTTCCATGTTTCTGTTTGGAGATAAAATTAATGTTGATTAAGAGCTTTACAACTACTTTGTTATTGATATACAACTGATAACAGTATGCTGCAGAAAACAAAAGCAATGCAAAAAATGCTAAACAACTTCTACACTTTTAGACTCTGTCCTAACTCTCGGTATGCTTATTTCCTTATAGCTTGTCCATCATATCCTCATGGTATCACACTTCTGAACTGTGATGGTCATTCAATGACCCTTGGCTGGAAAGCACCAAAATACAGTGGAGGTTCACCAATCCTCGGTTATTATATGGATAAACGGGAAGCTAACCATCAAAACTGGCATGAAGTCAATTCTTCCCTTATTACCCGGACGATTTATACGGTTGGTACTGTTTAATGATTATCTTTCTGGACTTGACTTGTCCTATTTCTTTGCTTTCGGCAGAGTTCTACTTTCTTGCAGAGAAGTTCTTTAACTACTTACTACAGCAAAAACAGGCCCTTCCATTGTGCATTTTGGAGTGCAACAAGCCTAAAAACTGGGATAGAGAATCAGTGCTATCCCCTGCTATGAAATTCTAAAACCAATAAGGCCATTCAGATGAGGAAACTTGAGGAAAAAGTTGTGAAGCACGTTTTTCACAAAGAACAAGATGAGCTATAAAATGCTTCATAAACTGTATTCATTAATGAGCACTATATGTATCACCACTGTAATAACATGCAGAGAAAGGATGGAAGCATTTAGCAGGACAGATGAACGTGCTGTCTGTAGAACCGGAGACTTGTAAATTAAATGGAGATGGGCTGAGAACAAATGTAACTGTCCCTGTTCTTACTCTCAAAATCTGCCTTCAGCTGGAAAGGGAAGTATATTAATAAACCTGGCATTATGCCTCATCGCCTCCTTTCGAGAGTACCAGAGCAATGATTTTTAGTTTTGAAATAAATTAGTTCTGGTTGCACTTACAATGTATTTAATATTTCTTAAAAGAGGAAAATTTTGATGTGAACTTCCACGAAGAAAGGTTAGGAAGATAGGATGTAGCAAGTAGTTAATCAATCTGACCCTTGTTAAATTAAGTTAAACAATCAGATTTTATTCCTAAACACTTCTTAAAATTATTTCTGCAAGTCAGCAACTTTCCTATAAACCTGAGGGCAGAAGTAAGTCTTTAGCAGATATTTGACACTAAAGTAGAAAATAATGCTGCAGATGAGCTCAAGAAGAATGTTTCATGCACAGAAGGCAGCCAGCAATCCTCAGATGTATGCTTGTGACTGAGTTTATAACTGGCACCTCTGACATAGCAGGTGGAGCATGGATGTTGAGAAATAAAAAAGGGCAGGTAAGATAGGCATGAAAGGGCAATACTAAGCAATGCTTTCCAGATATTTTCATTTTTTAATGCATTTGTAAACAAATGAGTAATGTAAATTAACGGAAACCATTCAGAGTTTTATTAATTGGATATTAATTCTCACTCCTGCCAGTAAATGTATTTGTGCCTGAAGGTGCATCTTCATACATTAGTTTGAATGACTGGAATCTGAAATACTGATGGGAAATAAAAGCAAGACAGCTTTTAGTAGCACAGAATATTTTATGACATACTGCAAGCAGAGAAGGCCCTGAGATATACAGTACAGCAGCGGGTAATCACTAAAGCTTTAACCCTCACTGATTAAATAATTCTGTGGGAACCCCACAAATATTCTTTCCCTTAGTAGCCTGGGATTTCAAAACCATTTTTATAGGCTGAGCTGCTATTCTCTCTTGTGAATCACTATATAGCTCTCTATCTTCAGAAAATTCTATCTAAATTGTGATAGTGCCTGACTTTTCCTAGCTCACATTGTTTGCTTTGGCCTTGTATTTGATGCTGCCAGTGGTGGGTTGACCCTGGCTGGACACCAGGTGCCCACCAAAGCCGCTCTATCACTCCCCCTCCTCAACTGGACAGGGGAGAGAAAATATAACAAAAGGCTCATGGGTCGAGGTAAGGAGAGGGTGAGATCAGGCAGCAATTACCATCTGTCGTGGTTTAACCCCAGCCAGCAACTAAACAGCACACAGCTGCTCACTCACTCCCCGCACTGCCCCTGGGATGGGGGAGAGAATTGGAAGAGTAAAAGCGAGAAAACTTACGGGTTGAGATAAGAACAGTTTAATAATTGAAATAAAATATAATAATAGTAATAATAATAATGATAACAATGTGAATGATGATGATAATAATAATAATAAATTGTAGTGAAAAGGAAAATAACAAAAAGAGAGAGAAATAAAGCTCAGGAATAAAACCAAGTGATACAACATCTCACCACCTGCTGACCAACACCCAGCCAGTCCCCGAGCAGTGATCCCTGCCCCCTGGCCAACTCACCCCAGCGTATATACTGACCATGAATCATATGGTATGGAATAGCCCTTTGGACAGTTTGGGTCAGCTGTCCTGGCTGTGCCCCCTCCCAGCTTCTTGTGCACCTCCTCACCGGCAGAGCATGGGAAACTGAAGAGTCCTTGACTTAGTATAAACACGGCTTAGCAACAACTAAAACATCAGTGTGCTATCACATTATTCTCATGACAAATCCAAAACACAGTGCTATGCCAGCTACTAGGAAGAAGATTAACTCCAGGACACCATCATGGGCAAAACAGACTCAACTTGGGGAAATTAGTTTAATTTATTAACAGTCAAATCAGAGTAGGATAATGAGAAATGAAAAGCCAAATCTTAAAACACCTTCCCCCCACCCCTTCCTTCTTCCCGGGCTCAATTTCACTCCCCATTTTCTCTACCTCCTCCCCCAGAGTGGCGCAGGGGGATGGGGAATGGGGGTTGCTGTCAGTCCATCACATGTTGTCCCTGCTGCTCCTTCTTCCTCAAGGGGTGGACTCCTCACACTCTTCCCCTGCTCCAGTGTGGGGTCCCTCCCATGGGAGACAGTCCTCCATGAACTTCACCAACATGAGTCCTTCCCACGGGCTACAGTTTTTCACAAACTGCTCCAGCGTGGGTCCCTTCCACAGGGTGCAGTCCTTCAGGAGCAGATGCTCCAGCGTGGATCCCCCACGGGGTCACAAGTCCTGCCAGCAAACCTGCTCCAGCCTGGGCTCCTCTCTCCACGGGTCCACAGGTCCTGCCAGGAGCCTGCTCCAGCGTGGGCTTCCCACAGGGTCACAGCCTCATTGGGCACATCCACCTGCTCAGGCGTGGGGTCCTCCCCAGGCTGCAGGTGGATATCTGCTCCACCGTGGACCTCCCTGGGCTGCAGGGGCACAGCTGCCTCACCATGGTCTGCACCAGGGGCTGCAGGGGAATCTCTGTTCCAGCACCTGGAGCACCTCCTCCCCCTCCTTCTTCACTGACCTTGGTGTCTGCAGAGTTGTTCCTCTCACATATTCTCACTCCTCTCTCCGACTGCTGTTCCGCAGCAGTTTTTTCCCCTTCTTAACTATGTTATCCCAGAAGCACTACCACTGTCACTGATGGGCTCAGCCTTGGCCAGCAGTGGGTCCGTCTTGGAGCCGTCTGGCATTGGCTCTATCAGACATAAGGGAAGCTTCTAGCAGCTTCTCACAGAAGCCACCCCTGTAGCCCCCTTGCTACCAAAACCTTGCCATGCAAACCCAATAGACTGCCCCATCATGTTTGTCACCATTAAAAAAATCACACCAAAATCTTTTTTTATCTCACATTTTCCCAGAGAACATAGTCACAGTTTGTCTATTCATGAATACCGAAAACTGTTCAGTATCTCCACTAGAAGTACTACCCTCAGCTGCCTCTTTCTCTTGAGACATATGATTAAAAATAATTTTGGGAAAATTATGCAGAGGACTGAGGTGTAGAAGACGTGTTTATTGCATTTAGGTGGTCTGGAAGAGGAAGGATAGAAGAGAGCTGCTACCATGAGGTGCTCAGGGTGTCAAGAAGCTCATGCCTTATAGCTTGTCTACCATGACCTCAAAAGCTGAGATGGTGATGTGGTGATGGACTCATTAGATAAGTCAGGGATCATTTACCAGGGATGTTCGCAGAGGTATAGCACAGAGTCTAGTCATCCCATTTCCAGTGCTTACTTCCTCACGTAATAGTAGGTAATATTAAGAGAAAGATGTACAGAAGCCAGAAAAAATTATGGAGAGAATCTTTCCCAGAGTTACATCAGCACACTGCTGAACTAATTGGATTAGCTTTTCCTTTAGTTTCCTGGTGTTTTCCTTTCCTCCCTGGTCAGTCCACTATGACCTCTTTAGACCAAAATACCATATGAACTCTTGCTTAAGTGAATGGCTTATGAATAGCCATTTGTAAGCAATACAAGAAGGTATTTCATGTTAGAACAGTCACCCATAAGTATCTGCTAGTGGTCATTCATTGAGTGGGCTCCCTGGACCTTTGCTCTGACCTTTTACAGCCTCTCATGCCAATATATTGAGTCCTGTTATTCCTAGGATGATGTGGCTGAAACATGGAAGTACAATGTAGATTTCTGCAGTGTGCTTGGTTTAAGGGTAAAATCTTCAAATTATATCCTTCCAGTACTCCAGCACAGCAGTAAGGTCTGATAATTAATTAACCAATGTCAGAATGCTTATTTTTAAGTATTTATTAAAAGAATATAAATAATAGCTTTTGATATATTGAATTGTTTTCTCAAAAAAGGTAGAGGATTTGACAGAAGATGCCTTCTATGAATTCAAAGTTGCTGCTGCAAATCTGGTTGGAATAGGTCAACCTTCAGATCCTAGTGAACATTTTAAGTGTAAAGCCTGGACTATGCCAGAACCCGGTAAGTCTACTAGTTCCTCATGAATTTCAATTCAGTATAAACTCCTTAAAACACAGGCAGTGTAATGTTCCAGCCAAACTCTGCTGGATGTCTTTTGGTTCATTTCTGCTGTATTACGTGTTGAGATTGCCATTGCTTCTGAGATCTCCTGTTAAAAGCTACCGCCATATCCCCACTGATGACACTGAATGTCCTGGAAAGTGAGTGACCTTTACTTAGCTTGCTGCGTGTCTCCTTTCACTGCCCACATCAGCTCAGAGCAGAAAGTCTTCAGCCTTTAGGCTGTTTTGATGTCTATCAGCTCTTCACCCCCAGCCCTACAAGCTCCACCTCACACTCACCACCTATACAATACAGAGGCATCCCTGCACCATAATTGCAGTTTATTAAGAATATTCCTGAAGTTTCAGACTCCAAAACTACAGGTTTTGTTCATAAATAAGACACAACAGGGGGCTGTTTCTTGACATAGAGGCAAGTAGCACAGTGTGGCTCACAGTTCACAGCTAAAGTCTTCCATTCACAGCTAGTGTGCCTTTATTTATGTGTTTTCCCCAGATTGTACCCAGGTGTTACCTGAGAGATTATTATTAGCCAGGTGCTAGGACAAATGTGCTAACAAACACACATCAGGAATGACTGTGTGCTAGTATTCAAACCTGTGTTTAGGTTGTCTGTAGTTTAGCAGTGTAGATGTAGCTAAAGACTGTTAATTGCCATGCTAACTCTGTAAAATATGTTAACTAAGAAGTATTGCGAATTCAGGACCCCCAGCAAAAGAAAGTGAAACTTTAGTCTACCTCATGTGAGCATACAAATTTGTGCCTAAATGTCAGACAACTAGGGAATTGGTTCCATTCAGTAATGCTTCGGTTCTGTAAATAATCTATGAAAGGGTTTTTGAAGGCCCATCTGCTTATTTTATAACACCCTTGCTTATACTGAGCAACACTTTTGCTGAAGCTATTTCTGATGTCTGGTACTGATTTACCTAAACAAAGGGTGTCAGAGTATAGCCCATAATACAACCCAGGCACCTACCACTTTAATATATTTCTTCTTTTCCCCAAAATGCTGTAAAATACTGCTGTGTTGTTAAATCAAATTCTATTTATGACACTGAGCTTTGGCATGCAATTAAGGATCCATTCTAATACTTGTTTATGTCATCAGGAGCTGTCTGACACCTACACACATCTGTTCCATGGCTAAATGTTCATGCAGTTGTTTTCTCACTAAAGAAAAAAAAATATCAAATCCTTAAATCTGGTTTTGTAGAACTAATGGCATTTTTAGTGATTTCAAAAGGGCATAATTAGCATAAGAAGGCAGGAAAATTTCAGTTTTCTCTGTTATATGTAAAAAGTAATTCTTGCCTGAAACATGAAACAATTCACTAAGATCATGGAATCACTTACTAGGAAAGACTCTCAAATGCCATGTAATTCAACTGCTTGCCCACACAGAGGATCAGTTATACCTATCTCATTGACAGAGGCTTGTCCGATCCATGACAACTACCCATGAAAATGTCCAGGTTCTTTGGACAGGATCTATTCCTAATCCTACTATGCTTACAGTTTAAAAGTTTTTCTAGTATTCCTGAATCTTTCTTCCTGCAATTTAAGCCTGTTTGCTTCTTGTCCTATCCACCGAGGACACAGAGAAGAGATTATTCTTTTTTCTTTTGGCAACAGCTTTTCTATGTGTTCAAAGACTTTGTCAGACCTCTAGCTTTCCCCTTAAGTTGACAAAATCTGGTTCATGTAACCTTTCCCCATAGATCATGTATTCCCTATCCCTAAAATGACAGTCTTTTGCTATTCTTTGAACTTTTTCTAGTTGGTTCATGTCTTTCTTGAATGGCAGCGCACAAACTGGAGACATTATTTCAAATAAAATTTTTTCAACAGAGAAATGGCAACTCCACACCTCCTACAATTATTTGCCTGCATACAAATTCCCTTCTATTTGTCTTTTTTAAAAAAACCATTACACTGTTATGCTAAGTTCCAAGTTTACTTCTTTTTAAGGCCCAGATTCTTTTCTGCAAAGCTGCTTGTCAGAGAGTTGTTCTTCATGGTTTCTAGCTAAATTCTTCTGAGTTCATAAACCTTACCTTCTGGATTTAATGACATGGCAAAGCGGTCAATAACAGAATGTTTAATCTCCTGACCTTAACTCCCTTTGTTTTAATTACATTTTCTTATCATTTTGTAGTATTTAGTATAAATGCATCATCAGTAGAAAATTATTTTCCTTAAAGAAAGGATCTGTGATTTATACTCTCTACAGTGTTTTCAAAACGTCAGTCAAATTGCCTGGTGTGTAAACAAGTGAAGATTATCCTTCGTTTTAAATGATATATAAAGAAATAAAATAAAAGGCACTTTCAGAAAATGAAGAGCGTGAAATTCCATTTTCATAATGAACAATCTGACCTTTGTACTCCTTGGCTGATTACATTGTTCTCATTATGAAACTAGTTGAACAGAGAGTATTGCATTTTTCCTGCTTTAAAAAACACCACAAACAACTCCCTTCCCCCCAAATTGCCAAACCTGTTAAAATATTTCACAAACCTTTTTTAGAATAAGTTTTTAAACAATGATTTAGAAATAGTGAAATGAAATGAAATAATTGAGATTTAAGACTGAGAGAAAGAGGCTGACCTTCTTCCCTGACTTACTAAAGATACTGAAGACTACTGTCACGTGACTACAATATACTCCCAGTGTCAATGAAATATTCTTCCACCTTTTGATATGGAAGGCAGGTTTCCTTAGACAGGCCAAAACCCCTTGCTGGATTTCCAGCATGAGTGATGGATTCCTTGCCCAGAGCCCATAATTATTTCATCCTTCTGCAGAACTCTAGTCTTAGGTATCTCTGTGAGCCTCTGTGAGTTAGCAATGATAGCTAATGAATTATTTTACATGACTTAAAAAAATGAAATATCTGTGGTCTCAGAATCCTCAGAATAGAACATACTTCATTACACATTTTCTTCTGCTGTCTAGATTTCTAGCAGGTGCATCTGTCAATGGAATTTTAATTATCTGTGGATATCTAGATATTTAGGTTGGGATTTTTAAAGAGCCCTGAGAGAAGGCTTTAGGCTCCTTGAAAAATACAGTCTTTCCATCAGAAATCTAGTATTTATCCTCATAAGGTCTGCAACAGGTACTTACATGTTTCTTTTCTGAAATGTGCTTATCCACTATGGAGAAACATTTTTCTACTGTTTTTTGCCGTATATTTGCTGAATATCATCCTTTACAAATTTCATGTCCCTTCATCACTGGTTAACATCATGTAGGCTGGAATGCAATCAGGTTTATTTGTAAGGTTTTTCTACTCTTCTTTATTTTAAATGGTGAGAC